AATTTAGGGCTTTTCTTGTAAATTCTATAACTTTGCAAAGAAAGGTCATGTAGAGCTGGGAGAGGTCTCATTTTAATCAGAAATTTTGGGACTACAAACATGCATCATTAAGAAAGGTTTTGGTTATTTTTTAGAGTTTCTGAAAAAAACTGGTTTTCCAGAAAACCACTCTATGGAGGCCTAGCAGCACGTCTCATGTTGATATTCGGAATCAGCATGGTCGACTACCTATAGTCCACTAGGTTTCGGCTCGAAAGCGATCGGACAGTTGGGGACCTTCCCTCGTAAGTCAGAAAACTTCTACATAGAAAGAAAAATAAATTCATTTAGCACGATATTTCTAATTTCAAAGAGACAAATATATAGAAGCCCGGTTTTACGGTGCGATAGTCTGTCAAATTCAAACATAGTTATTATCACTTCATACAATACATCTGCATCAGTTGCATGTAATTGTGAATTACAACTCTCTGTAATAATACCTTTATTTTTCTTGATCTGAAAGATAGTATATTAACAAACGAGGTTTTTGACAGTTGTTGAATCAATGTTACGTGAGTCACATTTAGTATATGTTTGCTATATAATACGACGAAGAAGAAGAATATCGCACATGTACCAATACGTCAGTCCAGTTATCAATTTTATTTTTTGTCGAAAAAAGTTGTTAGAATGATGAATAACAAATAAGATTTTCAGCATATAACGGAAAAGAAAAGATTTTGCTTTTGTTAGAACACGTTTTTATACAGTAAGTAGATTTGTAGAACTCAGATCATCTAAATATCAGCTCTTGTGTAACTTGTACACACAAACTGTGTACTCTCTTCTATTCTTCAGTTCAATGTGAGAATAGTACACACTTTGGAAAAAGTACCACTTTATAGAATTTCGAACACATTGAACAGAAGAATTTCAAGTAAAGTTTGTATCTTTCTCAGCTCTAAGATATCTATCAGAAATTTTGACTATCTCTGAGTGTAGTCATTTCAAACCATTTTTAATCTTTTTCTAAAAGTCACTTTGTACAACAATTCTGCAACAAATAATATAAACAACTTCATGATTTTTGTAGAGGGAAATATGACATGTTGGATCTATTGGCAACGTTTTCTCATGGTTGAAGATATTTTTCAAACAGAAATAAGTTAAAATATCCGATGGAGAAGTTGAAAGAAAACCTATTCATCTCAAACTCTTAGCAAAACGAGTTTCGAATCTATTCAATTAGCAAGCAGGTCTTCTTTTTCATTTTAGTGTCTAAAAGTCTTTGATTAAGTTATCTATTTTGAACATCGAGAAGAATGTTCGTCAAGTTTCTCTTAGTCAATTTTATTGCTTGCTTATTTTTAATAATTCCAACAATATGTATTTATACGGAAAAAGATTGGATCACATCATATATGAACGGAATAGTTTTGAAAAAGCGAGAAGCTTCTCAGAAAATTCCTAAACGTGCCTCACTGCCCGAATATTACATGTCAATTGCTGAACATTCACCCAGAGGTTATCGTATTGGTCTATTACCTCAACCACAAAATAATGAAAATATTATCTATAAAATTTTATATGGTAATGAACACAAAATGTTTGATATTGATAATAAAACAAAGAGTTTACAATTTGTTAATGGAAAATTGGATCGAAAAAATCGTGAACAATATGAACTGATAATTTACGTAAGTTAAATTTAAAAACTAGATCACAGTATCATTGGAGAGAATTTTTTATTTTTATATATTCAGGCAAAAAATGTCGATCATCCAAATTGGACTTGGGATAATGAACTTTTCAAAGTGATTATTATGGTAACTGATATTGATGATCAAGAATCATTGTTGAATATGGGAGAATATGTAACTGTTATAACACGAGATACTCGACTTAATGAACCATTTCTCGCATTACACCTGATGGACAATGATAGTAATAAAGAACATGGACAAGTTGAATACATTATTGAGTCTATTGAACGCATGCAATCATCAGAATTATCATCAGCTTCAATTGATGTATCTAATTGTTTTGATATAACAAATGATGGTCGATTAATTATTACTAAAAATCTTAAAGAATTCCCACATAGAACAATATTTTTATTAAATATTCTTGCTCTATCTCATCTTGAAACACAAACACCAATTCGTACAACAGTCATTGTTTATCTAGCTGAAACAAATGATCGAATCAATGTTAATATTCGTTGGCCACAATCACGATTAGAAAATGATTTACAACAACATCAACAACAACAATCATCTGCAGGAAATTTTTGGACAAATTTAGAAAATATAACAAATACTATGATTCTTGTTAATAAATTGACACCTTATAATAATCATGATAGTGGACGAATAGATCAAGATCAAACAAAAGCAAATATTTATATGATTAATCGTCGAACAAATATGTTATTAGATAATTTACAGGCATACGATTTATTAATGAATACGAAAAATGATTTACTCCATTTTCATCCAAAAAAAACAGAAAAAGAAATTCAACATCTATTGAAACAATCTAGGATATCAACAATGCATTGGGCTTATTGGATTTTAATTATTCTATCAATATTAATTGGTTTATGTTTTACTTTATTTTTACTTTGGCATTGTTGTCGTCGACCTGATACACGTTGTAAATAGTATGTTAATAATCATTTTTATCTACTCAATAGATAAATTATGTTTAATTATGTGTTTAAGTATGTCACCGAAACCAAATCTATTTCGATTTTTAAAAATGAAAAAAAATGTACATCCATTATTTGATGATAGTCTTAAAATGCCTATGCCACAATCACCACCATTCCCTATTACAAATCGAGCAAAAGATCAACTACGAACGATACCATTAATCACGGCCACTACAGCATCACCTGTTGAACGCGAAGACAATGAACCATTACTTAGGTAGAGAATGATTGGATAAACGGGGATCGTTTTTTTTTTTGCAACTTGTTCACTCTGTGTTTGCTTTTATTTAGTACATTTACTGCTGCAGCCACTGCCCTTCTAGCAGAGAATAGATTAAGCGCTGAACAAAGTGTTCCAAGAGCAACTGAAACACAAGTAAGTTATTTTACTTGCACTACATTTCATTAGTACCTTGTTGTTTTATAGGCCGCATCAATATCGTTGACGGATGAGTACCACACAGATGAGGAAAAAGAAAATGAAACAAAAGACGATATTTTATTTATACACGATAATTGATCGATTGTAATACAAATTATGGCCTTTGGAACTCAGTGATTTTTTGTAACCGATTGATCGTTGCTTTTTGTTTTTACTTTTTTTTAAAGCGATTTGTACGAGGAAGATTTTACCAAATACATTTTGTTATACTACTTTTATGACATAGATGGTCACTTTAAACATTTGTAAAAGATCTTGCTTAGATTTTATTTGTAAAAATATTCTCCTTCAACAAACGAAATCATATAGTTATCTAACAAGTATAAATAGATAATTCAAGAAAAAAACAGTAGAAAAAGATGAACAGTTATAAAAAGAATAGAAAAACAAATGTTATAAAGATATGTTCATCGTTTGTTCTATTTTCCATAATTTTATTGTGCCATCATCTGAACAAGATGCCAGTATTCCACTTTGTTTTGGATGAAATGCAATGCAATTGACATCTTGTGTATGAGCTTGTTTATTCTCTTGTATCAAATTAAAACTTGATACATTTTTCGTATCACCACCTTCATTTGCTTGTGTTTCTTCAAATATACGTATGCCATTATCACCACATGACGTGGCTATTAGACCAGTTAAGTGACACCTAGAAGCAAAATATATTATCATAACATTTATATCTCAAATAAACACATATACCATTTAACATCGTAGATGGACTGTGTATGACAACCACTAATGGTACATGTACATTTCCATACCGGATATTTTCCATTTTGTGATCGAATACCTAAAAATTGAATGATTTTACATAAAAGCAAAACTATTTGTTTTACAATACCTTCTTGATTATTCTTATCGTATGACTGCCAAATTTTAATTGTTTTATCATCACTGCATGAAACAAGTCGTTTTCCTGTCACATCAAAATCACATGACCAAACAGTGGATGTATGCCCTTCTAAAATAAATGAATTTTGTGTCGACAGACATTACTTAATTTTTAGTTTTTCACATACCTAAACTCGTTGAACATGACCAATCATCACCATCTTCTGTAAACATTTTTATTGTATCATCATAACTGCAAGATGCTAAAAGCTAAAAATGTGTAAGTTATTTGATAATAGAAAATTTACAGTCACTGCAAATGTCGTAATTGTACACTTACATCCTTATGTGGATGCCACGTAATATGTTTAACGTCTTGTGTGTGAGTTGTCAATACTGCTGCACATGCAAAATCAATTTCTTCTTCGTTCACTAGAAAATAAACATTACTGTAAATATCTTTTTAGCTAAAAACAAAACAAAATATACACCTTCCCAAATCCAAACACTTTTATCTCGTCCACACGTTGCCAGATATAATCCACTTCTTGAAAATGCCACACATTTTACTTCATTCTCATGTCCTTCTAATGTTGTTTGTAGAACAAATTCTTCTTGATCTTGTCGTTCCCATATACAAGTTTTAAGATCAAAACCGGCCGATGCAAAACGATTTCCACAGTAGGACCATGCAATATAGCGTATTGAACGTGAATGTCCATCTTCGATTGTTGTTCGACATACCCATGTTTGTTCACCTTGTTTTCCCCAAAGTTTAATTAATCGATCGGAACCACAAGAAGCCAACCTAAATATAGACACACAGAAATCAAGAAATGATGAACTACATATGAAAATGATAACAACTTACATTGTTCCAGATGGATTCCATGCTACACACCATATTCGATCTTCATGTGCTTGAATACACACTATTTCTTGTAATTGAGACATAATCTAAAAATAAATGACGATTATGAAACTCGAACATGAATACATGGATATTTCTGTTGACGACAAATTGTTTTAGCCATTGGCGAGATCCGACACTGAAATTGCATGCAGACAAAAAATAATGTCTTTACAAATTTCACTCGATTTTCAAAATATACATGTCATAAAAGCAATGAAATTGTATTAAAGTTTAATTAAGAAAATTTTTGAAGGAAAAAGTGGTATACAAAACCCCGAGAAATTATTAAATATTTAAATTGCACTGGATGGCAAAGTAAAAGACTCTACAAGAAGAAGTAAGCATCCGAGTATGCTAAACAAGTGTTGCTTGTCAGCGATAAACAATAGATCATTTTTACATTCACATCCTTCATATAACCAAGAGGTCCGTATGAACTACGATATTTTCGAACGATCAAAAACAAGTGTAAGTTTTCAATAAATATGTTTATTTTGTATACGAATTTGAAATACATAAAAAAACTTGAATAAATATCAACCGTATTTTCTATCCTACTATTCACAGATAATAATAAAACATTATTTCTTTGAGTCGATTGTTTGTAGAGCGATTATATCATTACTATAGCTCGATAATAATGCTAATCTTCTTTATTTCTTCTAATTAGAAAACAAATGTTGTAACTGTGGCTAAAAATCAGATAAAACTTTGTTTTTCTCTTCCGTTTTTGTTAAGTTTGTCAATTGTCAAATATTTTTGTTCATTGTTATTCTACAACCTTCATTATTGAAATAAAGTAGAAAAAGAAACATTAGTTCCAAAAATATTTGGCTATTAACATTTTGAATTAAATCATCAAATGAATGATAAATATCATGATAATTCATCCATGAATTAAGGATAAAAATGAATAAATCCGTATTTATCGAATTGAGTTCACAATGATGATTTCATTTCTGACTGATATTTGGATTTTAGTTTAGTTTTCCAGTGCCAATGCCAACAAATCCTTTGCCCATTATCCTCGATTGCTTTATTATTGAACATCTGACAGAAGGTTTCCATACCTGAATATTCACTGTTTTTTTTCTATCACAGGTATGTAACAAGTAATGTCATTCTATATAAAACAAAAAGAGAAATAAATAATTGAATGTACTCAGTTTATTGTGTTGATAATTGATTGAGTATACATCAGATTTATAGAAAATCAAATCAATTTCATTAAGAAGTGCCGTTTGTAGTCAGAGAACAGTATGTAAAACTTTTTGAATGTGCTTGCTTCAAAAAAGAATGTTGTCTCATAGTTTTATAGGACATGACCTGAAGCAATTTGTTGAGCTCAATAAGTAAGAATCAAACTGATCGTGAATTTTTCTACTGTGATCAATCAATGATTTACTTTAGAATAACGAATGATTGATTTGAAAAATAGCGTTCAACTTTTGAAAATAAAACTTGTGTAGTTTAGTTTTTGTAGAATATTCTAGTCTCTTTATAATTTGAACTTGCAGTAGAAGATGTATATATTGAATCTTATTGATTATTTTCTTTATACTTTTAAAAAGAAAAAAGTTTGTACTGAAACTTCAATACATCGAACACCTGACAAAGAGAAAAAAAACAACAAACACAAATAAATATGCATACAAGATACGGACAAATGACGGGGGAAAAGGTTGATATACAAAAGAAGAGAAGTAATAGAAACACAATCACAGAAGAAACGAAACAAAAAAAATGTTTAAAAGTCATAGCCTAGTAGTTGAAATGAGAAAGGCACAGGGCTTTCTGAACTGCACAATGATGAGAAATAAACTATTCAACTAACTCGATACTGTGTATGTGTGTACACTACAAAACACAAAAAAAAACGACGAGAAAAATAAATCCCTGCTTGTATTACAATTTATCTTGATTAATAATACATTGACATAAAACATTTATATGTACAAACGGAAAAGAGAGATAGTACAAATAAAATACTTCAACTATAGTGCAGTGAGAGTTCTTCATTCTCTTTTTCTTTTTTGTTTAAAGTCCTCTGCTACTATCCCATCGTAATAAGTCCAAAAAAAAAATAAACAGTTAAAAGTAAAATGAAATGTGTGAGCAGAAAGAAAAATAGTATCTGAATAGGCCAAAAAGTTGCGTGTGTGTGCATATCATCGTCGTTTTGTTCACCTACTCAAAATACCAAGAAAAAAAAATGGAAAAACATTACTGTTTTATGGACACATCGAATTTCTTCTGCACATATACATTGATGAGAAAAAACTGTTTTTGTTTTTTTCTCACACAGATCTTAAAAAATATGAACTATATACACAAAAAGAAAAAAAATATACATCTAAAAGATGACTAGATAATATGCGCACACTCACACACCTGCATGAAGTGTTTAATCAGGATATAGTTGATGGTGTTTCATTTAAAGCAACAAGTCCTTGATGTTGTAAACAATGTAATCGACGTTCAACTGCTTCTCGATATCCTCGTAATATTAATTTATCACAATCACTTGATGCTTGTTGACATAAACTATGAAATAACACTTGAGCTTCTGTATATGGACCAACACACTGGAAAATAAAATAAAATAAAATAAAAATCAGATAGAAATATGAATAATAATTGTCTATTACTTACATCTTCTGGTTTACCAAAAAATTCGAGAGCAGCCGCATTTAAACATAAATCAATTGCATGTAAATAAAGTAATTTATCAGCTGTTAATGTAACACCTTTAAGTTCATTTCGTGTTTGTAATTCTTCTTGTCTACTTAATTCTTTACAAATAACAAGACAATGTTTAAATTTATTATTTAAATCACGTACTGCTTGTCTAACAGTAGTAGATGGATATAATTTTTTCGATTTTATTGTATCTCTAAAACATAAATTGGAATATACGATATTGTAAATATTATCATTTATTTTTGCTCTTTCATCAATCTTACCTAGCTAAACATATTGCCGAACTTAGAAAATGCATAGCTTTAACATAGAGTGTTAATTGTTCAGCTCGTTTATATAAATCATCAACAATACTTAAACGATCCATTTTTGGTCGATTTGAAGTGGTTTTATTGTTATTAATATTATATTTATTATTATATGTCAATGATTCAGTTAATAAACTTGATCGTGAACTAGCTAACGTTAATATGTAATCAACTAATTGAAGAATAAATTGTAACTTGTCAAGTGTATCGTTATGATCATTCTATATAACAAAAGAAAATTTTATATGAACAATAATAGTGATATTCTTGCTTCAACATACATCCATTAGTGAGTCATCGGTAATTTTTTGTGGTTCATAATAGTTGCCCTCGGGTGCAGAATCACCAAATATTGTATTCACTGTTTGTCGTTGATATTGATACATAGCACCATTATTATTCGTGTTTCCATTGTTGTTTGCACCTTGATCAAAATTTGTAGTGAAAAATACGGGTGTCGTATTTTCTTGTTCAAAAAATCGATCCGGGCGAGCTAAAAAAGAGATAACATATTAAATATGAAAGTATTTTACTGAGAATAATTTAATTACTATCTAGATCAGTCGTTAGAGTGCCAACAGTATTAAATTTTTGATACGAAAAACGAGTTTTCAATGGAGATGTATCTGCTGTTATTGTCGTCGCAGTAGTCTTTTGATTTTGTTGCAGTTGAGTAAGAGAATTATTCGAATGAGAACTTTGAATCGCACGTGATGGTGGTGGAGTGGCAATAGCTAAAAATAAAAGAGTAATACTGACGTGTCGAGTAGAGGATTTCACATTTACTATGACGACGCAAAGCAGCATTTGATGCAAAACTAATCGGACTTGATGGTGTATCAACAGTAAATCGTACAGCTGGTGGACTAATAGAATTTGCTAAATCTGAATTTGACGATGCAATACTAGCTTGTCGTAATCGATCAATTGAAGTACGACGTTCTAAAATAACAAAAAAAAAAATTTAATTTAATATCTGAATACAATTTGTATAATTGGATATTGTTGATATAAATGAAATGATCATAGGATAAATTGTACCTCCGTATGGACTTCCGGTGGGACTTGCACCAGTGCCACCAACACTTTTTGCACGTTCTCGGGACTCTTCTTGCATTTTCTCATAGTTTTCAACTTGTGATGGAACAGGAATTGGTTGACTAGCACTATAACTGTGACCGTCTTTTGGTGTTAATGATATTGCTTTATTATCTGGAATATTTTCAATAGCATCTAGCGCGAGATTATCCGGACGCGCTGGTTCTTTTGAACATCTAATAAAGCATAAATATCATAAGACAGGATGTACATTTCTGTAAAGATTACTTACAAGATGCCCTCGGATAATGTTCGCTGTTGTTTCATAGTACGATTGTCACGCGGTAATTGAGCAAATGATGTATGATTAGCTAGAAAATGTGAATAAATAAATGATCAAAAGTTGCTGAAAATATATTAATCCAAATCAACCTGTTAGACTTTTTTCTACGGCAACATGTTCTGGTATCAAAACAAAGTCGTCTGTTTTTGCGCTTGGATTTAACACAGGAGTTGCCGACGGCGGTGATGTTCGTTTGTTGTATTCATTGTAGACAGCGTTTAACGAACGTTTGACAAGTGATTTATGAAGATTTGTTGATGTTATATTTATCGATACTGGTGATGATGCTCGTGCTAAATTTGCTGAAGGGGTTTGTTGTGTGGTGGTAGTTGGTTCGTACTCTGGAATCGGATCAATTTGACGTGGAAACTGTCGAGGAACCATTGCATCCTAGAAAATAAAACAAAAAACGACGTTGATTTTCAAAGTATAAACAGAAAAAAAAGGAATAAAAGCACACATATTTACGAGATCATGTGCTGCGGTTGTTATTCCCTCTCGCAAAGGAGATGATGAAATAATACTGACTCCGGGGGGTGTCGATGTTGCTTGACGACTTTGAGGCATATCCACTGGCTGACCTAATTTACAACAAAGAGCGAGAAACATAAGCACATATTTATACAGAAATTTTTTATGTTCCATACTTCTACGAAGAAATGGATGATGAAAAAATTCATCATAAGCAATTCGTTCTCTCGGATTACGTTTCAATAAACGTAACAATAAATTTGCCAGTTCTGGAGATGTTGACGATGGTATTCTACAATGAGAAAGAAAGAAATGAATCAAAAATCATACAGGATTCATAGTAATTGCTTACGCTGGTGATAAAATTGTATTTCTCTCGTAGAATTGTTTTAAAGCTTGTGGTGTTTGAGCTTGAAATGGAGCTTTTCCCGTTAAACACTGGTAGATAATTGTACCCACGGACCTAAATGACAACGGACACTCGTTTGACTAATATCAAGAAAATCTCTAAACACCGACTAACCATAAATCAGCTTTTGCATCATATTGCAATGAACGTATTACTTCCGGAGCCTTAAAAAAACAACGAAAAGTTAGTCGTAAATTAAATACTCATTCGATTTATTTACCATGTACATCGGTGAGCCACATAATGTTCCAGCCATAACACCGTCTTGTAAAAATCGTGCAAAACCAAAATCGGCTATTTTCAACGTTATTTCAGTAACCTGTGGATTTTCTTTATTTTTATAGCAAAGTAGAATATTTTGTGGTTTTAAATCACGATGAACCTGTAAGAAAAACAAAATGGTAGTTTTCTCCTTTTGACCACAAGAAAGATAGACTTACCACATTGTTTTCGTGACAAGCTCGAATTGCAGCAGCTGATAGACAATAAAAACGAAATAAGAAAATTTACAATAAGAATTGAATTAACATACCAATTTGACGGAAAAACATTGCAATTGTATCTTCACTGAGTGTGCCTTTTTGTTGTAAATATTCAGCAAGATCACCACCATTGCAGTACTATAAAAAAATAAGTACATCAAATAATTATGCATATACACATATTCGATCGACTTACTTCCATAACCAAATAGACATTGTTTTGAGATTCCTGAAATGATAAAAACATAAAATATTTATTTCAACTATTCGAGAGAAACTTCACAAATTTATTACGGTAAAAACTCATACTTTGCAATCCAGTAAAGCCACTAAATTTTCATGCTTTAATTTTGTCAGTTCCTTTAAAAAAGATTCATTTGATTGTACAATAGATATACATACACGTTACTACATACTTTTAATATTTTAATTTCTTTTTCCAATAAACTTTGTGATTTTGCCAAACTTTTTTTTGTAATTTGTTTAATCGCTACTTTCTGGTCCGAATTCTAAATTAAAAGAAGAAAAAAACAATCAATAATAAATTTAAATAAAATATCAATTATCAATACATACAATAGTGGAACGACCAAGAAAAACAATAGCAAATGCTCCATGACCAATTAAATCCCGTTTACTATATTGATAATCTCCAATTGTTTCAGGCATTTTTTAATAATTTAATTAATAAATAAATATGTCATCGATATGAATAATGAATAAATATACCGACTAGAAAATTACTAAAAAGAATCAAAATAAAATGTACAATATAGTGGTCAAACTTTAAGTTTTTTAACATCATTTATACTAAGATATTTAGTGATCCTTATTGAAAAAGTACATCCATACATATATAAATTTTAACTCTTACAATATATTAAGATTTTATTTTCTCAATCTTTAGAAAATGGTACTAATACCAAGGTCAAAATCATTTTGTCACTCTATAGATAATATATGCGTGTTTAATCATCAATATGAAGAAAAAAAGCTATATAAAGACAACATCAGTTTCTTTCTCTTTTTTTTTCTTCTTTCTCAATACTCCCCTTATATAAAACTGATCCTCTCAATAGTGTGTCATGTACCATTGTACTTACATCATCACTATAGAAAGTATCAACAAAATTTTACAGTAAACGTACGCGACATGATGATGCAATTCATACATATCAATTTAATTCATCATATACATCTTAATTAAAAAATAGTTAAACCTACATACAGAGGAGATTCAACATCTAGACCAGAACAGCATATAAAATATATAGAGCTTTTTTTATATCAAATGAAAGCGAAAATATTCGGTTTTATGGACACATTGTATTTATAGTTCGCAATTATAAGAGAGTAATCAGCCGCTTAGTCGAGCTAAGGATGCATATAAAGAAGAGAATAAAAGAAAATACAGGAAAAAGAAATCTACACATATATATATATATATATATATATGCGATACTTTTTCATTTCATTTCCTTTACTTTTTTTTTTCAAAACACGAAATAGAGAATAAATTTGCGACACGTGAGTTTTAGAAGAAAATATGGTCTATTATACTGCCAAATGTCCACTACGATATTTTTTTTTTTGTTTTTTTTGTTTTAAGTTCTAGTTGATTCCAGCAAGTTTCTTAAACTAAAAGAATAGCGACATTCTATTAGAGATAAATAACATATGCGTTCATTTGAAAGTATATGAGATTTTTTTTTTTTTTTGCTCACATCAATAATAGAAACAAAATTATTATTCACGTTTTCATATGGACTTTTTTTTGATTCTTGCAGGTCACAAATAAAAAATAGAACAACTCATTTTTCTTTCTATGAAACATAATAAGGTGGTGCACAAAGACGTCGTATGTTTGAACTGATGCTTTTTTAACAACATTGACTTTCTATCTGTAGTATACATGACCAAGAATAATAATAAAACTGAGAAACGAAATAATAATATAAAAACATAGATACACATGCTCTTTTTTCATTCTTAATTTGTCATTGATATAGTAAACAAATAATTATCAAGAGGCTTTAAACATGACGGCAAGCATCAAAGAAAATTTTTTTTTATAGTTAGTCTACATAAATGTTTACTATCGGATATTTTCCTATGTTTCGAAATAATAACGTGACAATTTTCTGTTCTAAATAGCGTTCTTATTTACAAGAGAAATTCTATTCATTGAAAAAAACACTTAAGTAAAGGATTGTGTGTGTATTTATGACTGTGTGACTGAGCGAGTCTATTAGGTCGTAGTTGAATCAAAATCATTGATGAAACGCTTGTCATCATATAATATGATACTAGGTCATACTTGTATGTTTTTCCTCACTTTGTACGACAAAAAGCGGAAAAATTTATATGTTCATTTTATTTAACGTTTTCGGTTCATCAAATTGAGAACAAGAAATATGCTACTCTGTAATCCTGTTATTAATACTTAAGAATCGAAATTGCGAAAGGATTAGATGGTAATTATTCAATCAATATTGATATTTGATTATGTATCCATGACTGAATAACACTACTGAGCATATGATATAGTCAAAGAGTTAATAATGTGAAAATAAACTTGTCTTAAGTTCTATTTTCGAAAACTTTTTTTTAGCCGCAAAAGACATATGTGAAAAATAACATTGTACTTCAAATAAAATGATTAGAGGGCGAAAAAGTCCACTCCACATGCATGCAAAGAAAAAAAAGAATGATCTTTCAATAATGTACTTACTTATTAACAACAAATAACACTCTCGAACAATTTCTAGTTGTGGTAACGAGTAAAAAAGCGCCGTGTTACTTGGTGTTTTTTTTTTCTTCTTCTTTTAAACTAACGATCAAAATAACAACGAAAACTATTTATCGATTGATTAGGTATGCAAAACAATGACCATCTCATCCAAAGTATGATCACGTACTGGCGTCATGTCTCCTGCATGTTTATCAGATGTTTTATTTTATTTGGAGAGCGTAATAGTAAGTGTTAATAAATGCTGCGAGTATCACTCGCTCAAACAAAGACAGAAGAGAGAGGAAGGTGATCAGCTGATTTCATACCGATGAATTACTATAAACTAGCCAAGTACAAAACCATAAATAAAACTTCTCTTGTCTGAGAAGGAAAAAAAAGTTATGTATTATTTATTTTTCAAGATACGGTTGAATACAGGAATAATTATTCAACGCATGTAGAAGCAAAATACCTCTTTTTTTTTCTTCTACATATAAAAAATAACAACACAAAAGACCAGTTGCAAAAAGTAGTTGTCAAACTTATTTTATATAGGACAAATATGATTGGTATACGGAGCATCAAATGAGCGCATGTCTCAATTCGTTCTCGTTACAAATAAAAATACGTACTGCGGAAAAAAGTAGATTGATATATAAACAGGGATGTGATGATAGCGAGGACGGGAGGGGGCAGCGCACCCTTTCAGTTTTAAAAAATGATGATTTTTTTCCAGTAGATCTGATTTGAAAATCTTGTTTTTTAAAAGACTGACTCCCTTTTAGACCATGCCTGCTCAGCTACATTTGCCGGCTACACCCGCCCACTTTTTTTTCCATCGTCACATTCCTGTGTATAAGTAAATGTTACAGCGAAATTTTACACTATTGATGAAAGATATGAACTCATATCATATCTTCTTATTGCTTCTACTTATAAATCTAAACATATTATAATTAGACTAGAGTTCATTGTTCTTCATAAATGAGAGAACAAAAAAGAAATTGAGACTGATAAACTATATGATATATTGTACAATATATCATCACATTTCAAAACTGTATAAGTTCTAGTCGTAAAGAAATCAATTTATAAATCACCTTTTAACCTTTCAACTATAAATGTGCAAGTTTATTTTAAGGAGCAAAAACACGACAAAAATTGTTTTCTTTCTTCCTAATGAATTTTTTTTGATACCAAATATTTTCCTTTTCACGTGTTAACTATTTTTTAACACATTTAACAGCATTAAATATTAATAAACTTACACGCGTTAATTGACTTAAAAAAAAGGCTTCGAATGCGTTTATATGCGTTAAATTTAGCATATCTAATATAAACGAGAAGGTTGTAATCAATTAAAAAAAAACGTTTTTAATGCGCTAAAAGAAATTAAAATGGATTGTTTAATACATTAGCCTAATGAAATAACGTGTTTCAGTCTCATATTAAATTATTTTAATGCTATGTTAAAATGAAATTAATGAAGAACGTTTTTAACATGTTTTGATGATGACTTTTAACGTCTTAAAAACTCAACACTATTCAATGCGTTAAAAATTTTAATACATTCAAATGTATTAAAATTATCTAATTCATAAAAAAACATTAAATATTAATACGTGACTACATTCATAGATGACCGTATCAAGAGAAGACGTCAATTTATTTAGACAAATTTCTATGTCCTCTATATCTTAGACCAAAACCGTTTTGAGAGAAATTCAACGGCATTGTACGAAAAAAGTAAGAACATTCGTTTATACAATGCTAGAGTATCATTTTTGTTTTTAAAAATCATTAAGATGTTCACATTCATTAATTTTTAACTCATATAAACTCATCCGATGACTCTTAAAATCTGTGAACATATCGAATAGAAGAAAAATATTTTTAATCCATTCAAATACGTTAAATGATTTCACACGTTTGAATATATTAAATTTTAAGACGTGTGAATGTATCAAAATTAATCTGAATACATGTGAATGAAAATATTTTTTATGCATTCAAACGTGTGAAAAAATTTAAAATTTTTTTTGTTTTTAAAAGTTTAAATGCGTTATTTATTAAGACATTTGAAGGTGTTGGATTATGTAAACGATACATTAGAAAAGTTAACATTTAAAATTTCCAAATGCATTAACTTTTAACATATGTGAAATCGTGAAGAACTTTTTTAATGCATTCAGACAAATTAAAGGTACAAAATGTCGATTTTAATACATTCAAAGAAAACTTTTTTATTCACAAGAAGAAAAGATTCTAGTGAAAGATCTTCTACAATCCAAATGTAGTTTGTTCAAAAATCTTAGGATAATTGTCTCTATGATTATTTATATTAACGATTGACAATAATCGCAATAAACTAATTCGCTTTTGCTATCAAACATGTCAATTGTAAGTAGAAAAATTGACTTTTCATTAGGATAAAAACTAGGACGTTTTAAACATACTTCTCCTGTATATCATAATTGAAGAAGAATATAAATCGAAGAAAACTACTATGACTATCATTATAAACTAAATAAATTTTACCTTTTGAAATATATCATATCAGATTATTCAATAGATTACAAAAATAAAAATATATATTTAATCATCTTTATACAAAATAATGTCAATAAATATAGAAAAGAATTACGAATATGTATGAAAAATTATCTGAAAAAATAAAATAGAAAAATGAATTTTTGCATCGTCGAATAAATTAAAATACAGATAACATGATTAATGAATGTATGAACAAAGTTTTTGAATTAAAAAAGTTATTTTGTTTTTGGATAATAAATTTATTTTAAAAGATCAAATAAACTGAAATCAAGTCCCATACTTAAAAGACAAAAACAATAACGACAATAATGTAAAACATCAGAACAATAAATTAACGATTTTACTTTAAAAAACAAACAAATTTGTCTTTGAAGACTAAACATTAAACCATGATTTTTCTCAGATCATACATAAATACCCACCCATAACAATAGAAATAAACCACCGAATCCAAGAAATATTGAAGCTACTCTAAAAATATATTTAAAAATTTAATTATTAATATTTTAATAATAATTTTATTAAATCAATTACTTACGCGGCAATTAATATTTCTTTTTTGAAATTACGATTATATTTACTTGAAGTTGTTTCATAAACAAAAAACCATGACATAACAAATATGCCAATACCTAAAAGATAAAATAAACAAATAGAACTAAACAGTACAAAGAGAAAAAAAATAAGATTATATACCAAGCAATATTATACTCAATGTTGGATAAGCACTTGGATTTACTGGACTAACATAACGATTCATTTGATCAACATTTAAACGAACCATGTCTAATCTTTCTAAGTATGTAAAGGGCTAATAAAATTGTATCTAAATAAACATAAATAAAAGTGATACAACAAAATCATAATTAGTATTTGAGAAAAAAGTTATTTCGAAAAATGATCAAAAATCTTATACTATATATGTCCAGTGTAAGATATGAATAAAAATCCAGAAGATATATTTTTGAATTATGCCTGCTTTTGAATAAATCATAAAAGAAGAAATATAAAAAAACGTTTCTTCTATATTCTAATAATTTTTGAGGAAAACTATAACTTAATTATTGTCTTAAATGCCATGATTTTCGAAAGTATGTTAGAACAGTCAAATAATAATAAACAAAAGGTCAAAAATACAACTTGAAGATAAAGAAAAATGTAAGATACACATAAATTAAAAAAAAAAGGTGGAGAAAAACGAGTAAAATGTGCACATAGTTGTTGTTTTTTTCCATAACGTAACATACGCATTTATATATATATATACCAGATCTATACTAAAAGCGACTAATTTTTTTGATGGCGCCCTCGAAGTTCAAGAGTAAAAAATAAAATATTTAAATTGAATGTTTATTTTGATTGTTTTTGAAGATAGGCTTTAGCAAATTCTTCGCCTTTTTTAATATTACTGGTTAATTCGGATTTTGCATCTCCTATTAATTTTGTTTCATATTCTGATAATTTTCCGATACCGTGTGAACGTTCAACACCATTACGCTAGACAAATCAAAAACAAATAAATGAGATATGAATGTGTTATTAGCAGATAAAAACATAACTTACACCAAATAACAATGGTGTTGCAAAATATCTGAATTCGGTTTCTTGTGATGATATATAACCACATTCAACAACTCCTTCTTTTCCACTTAATGCTTCTAGTACTGAAAATGCAAATCTTGCACCAGCATGAGCCATTGACAATGTTGCTGAACCAGTGCCAGCTTTTGCTTCGACAACTTCAGTACCAGCATTCTGAATACGCTTTGTTAGACTCTCTAACTCTTGCTAAAACAAATAATAGATTTTAATACATCGTAATTTAGTTTAATCCATATCTTTTTCCCTGTTGTTCAAGTTGATGAAGCCATGGGTATGAATCACGAACTTTATAGCGTACAGTTGCTCGAAATAAAGAACTTTCCTATTATACTAATTAAATTCTCTTCTTTGGATACAGAAGTATAAGTGAAGAGATCCAGCTTTTCGGATAAGCTGAACAACTCATCTGTAGTAAATAGAGAATACTTAGATTTTGGTACCTTTGAAAACGAAACAGGTGGTGATACTTGTGATAATAAGGGAATGATACTGTTTCCTGCATGTCCACCAATCACTGGTACAAACACACGTGTTGGATCTAAACCCTAAAAAACAAGACGAAAATAAAACATTGCATAAGTTTATATAAGTTGTCTAGGTTAACTTACTTTTGCTTCAGCAACAAACGTGGCTGATCGAACAACATCCAATGTCGTTACACCAACAACTTTCTTTTCGTCAAATACACCGTGGTGTTTCATTATTTCACAGGCAATTGGAACAGTTGAATTTACCTAGATAATGAGAAAACCAACATTCATAAATATATTCGATACTAATATCATAAAACAGTTTACCGGATTTGCGATAATAGCTATCAATGCTCGTGGACAATTCTTAGCACAAGATGAAATAAGATCAGCTACGATTGTTGCATTTGTGTTGAACAAATCGTCTCTGGTCATACCTGATAGAGAAAAAAATTTAGTTTCTTGTTTTCCAATCAATCATAGTATATGGGTTTTATGTTTTTTACCTGGTTTTCTTGGCACACCAGCCGGTATTATAACTAATTCCATTCCTTTTAATGCATCACCTAACTGTTCTTGACCGACATATGCTTTCACTTTTGCCCGTGTTTCAATATGACTAAGATCGGCTCCAACGCCTTTTGTGTGTTGAATATCATACAATGACAAATCACTAATCAACGGACTTAATTTGAGTAACAATGAAAGAGGCTGTCCAATACCACCCGATGCACCCAAAACGGCAACTTTTCTCTATAAGTGTAGAAGAAAACCAATCTTAAGTATATAATAAACTCACATATGCCAGAAAAAAAGAAAATAAATCATACTCACTGAAAATGATCCTGCCTCTCGAGTTGATGAAGCATATCGTACGAGTTTTGGGCCAACTGTGCAAACAACATTGCCAAGCAGAGATGTTGCCTTATTCATTGTTTAATACACAGAAATAAAAACAAACAATATAAAACATGAGTAAAAACAAAACATAAGGGAATGAAAGACTATAGTGATATCGACAAAGAGAACAGAACGTCTAGGCAAACGTAAAGATTTTCAGCGATTTAAAAATACTTTCTTTCATAAAGCATATTTAGCGACTTTCTGTACTTGTTTCACATCAGGTGATCTTCTATACAGGGTTGCAAACAAAAATATTTGATTAAGACTGACACCGTTGTGTCAATGCCAGTGATGTGTCCGATCCATACTGACAATAAGCATCTGACTAGACGTTCAAGAAAGCCACATTTGTAATAAGGATTTTGAGTCAAGTGTATTATATTAAGCTTAACGCGGAGAATGAAATAAGTTTACAACGCATTGTTTGTGACAATTCTGATGTGATATAACTATCTCGATTGGTACTTTTAATAAGGGACCTCTGACAGGAAAAAAGATCTTTTTACTTCGCATCCGATTTTAATAAGACTTACAACAGATGTGTCATGTCAAGTGTTAGAAATGTCGCGATAGTTTAAAAATAAAAACATTTTGGGATCGATTAATGGACGTAGGTTTTTGATTTTAGGTCTCTTGTCTATTACTTTTTATAGCTTTCCGAAGCTGAAAACCATGAAAAAGATGCTGCTTATGTTTTCCCCTGCCATGGCGGCCTTACTAGCATCATGGGAAACAGACTTGGCACTTTAATCCATCATCAAAAACTAAAATATGCCGTAATTTTTACCGTATTTCTAACCGTCAGGTGCGCTTTGTTTGAATCACAAATCGTAAAATTTCCGCTCTGACATTGATTCCGCATCGGAAAACGTACCATGAAAAACATTAAAGTTTCAATTAAAAACAGTGACGGTAATGCGTCTGTGGTTATTCTCTAATTCACGTGCTCAATGAACAAATCTCTCTACATAATGACCACTAAAACAGGCCCTGTCACTACATCAGTATGAGGAGCGCAAATTACAACATTTCCATTCGACCATTTGAGTAACAGAATATGAAGTTCTTTCCATGATTTCTAGCCTAAACGTTGGTTAGATTCTACTGGTACTAACAAGGCATGAACACAGTCCTAACGTATATCGACTTTGAAACTCCACTTCTCTCCATTCAACATAAGCTAGCACCATTTCCGCGTGGCGTGGCTTTGTTGTTCATTTAAGTTCCATAAAAGTTTGTCCTCCAGCGGTGTGTTTTATCCATAGTTTGTGAAGATTTGCGACAGATCGGTAGCGCTAAACACAATAAAATCCACTATTTTAATTTGCCGTAATTTGTTTGATTTAACTTCTCTTTTCATAAGGAGCTACTTAATAAGAGTGAAAAAGAGGACGCACGTAGACGATATCATCTGATGTGATTCGTTTCAAAGATCAAACTTTGTTCATTTCTGATTGGTTAGTTTGACAGTTTTCTGTCAGAGTTAATCTAGCGTCATTTTTGGGATATATTATATCGAAGCTCTGAATTATATTGTTGACATGACCCAAAAGATATCGATTCCGTGGCTGCTGTGTCGTTGTCGTCGTGCATTCCAATACTGTCTGCTAGCCAATGACAGACAGCTTGACTTCTGCAGTCTTAGCTGGTTATTTTTCTTTCTCCAAAGCTGATTCTCAATCTCTATGGCATCTCAGACCATAATCGTTTTCCTGCTGTACTCTAAATGCATTGACAGATTGAGTTAAAAATATAGTATAAGACTTTATGACGGTTTAATTCTCTGATTCAATTGCGCCACGCCACTCCTGTATCGACTATCAATGGGAAAGAGGTGGAAGTTCCTGGTTGGAAAAAAATTAAATATTAGCAACACGTGAAAGGAGGAGAGTGGTTTAAGAGTTTATTTCGCTTCGACTTTTGTCAACATTTTGTTCTCTTTTATTTACGCATAATGTGTATTCTGAACGCTTATTGATACAGTTCTTATCGTTTATTCAAAACATATTTCAGTGAATAGTTTAAACGCAAGTAGGAATAGTATCGCTTTTTTGTATCATCATCCCTGAAAATAAGTAATACTTCTACGGTATATTTTGTATTTACGGTTGACTGTAAAAGAATAACGGTTTATATAGTTTTAATGGATTTGTTTTTGTAATGAATAAGATTTTTGATTAGGATCTTTATCAACTTTGCCACCTTGAAAAGTTCAAAAAGCGGAAAATAGTTTTTATTTCATGCTATTTTTCATAACGCCGTAACTATCATTTCACACTCGAAGGTTCACTGATTTTATTCGCACAAAAATACAGAACGACACAATAGAAATAGCACTACCGTACTCGTTGTTTTTTAAAAGACAGTAAATAGCTGTTAACTTTTTATGATAATAGATGCGATGCTTGTACATCTCTAGATATGAGAATGATGAATCATTGGTGGCAACTCTGATCTTTCTTATATTATGTTTTATATGGCGATTTTTGTTCCAACTTGTAAATATTGTCATTGATTTGTTTTAGATCATAAAGCCTAATCATGTTGATATATTTATCGCTGGCATTACTCTGTTTATCTTATTCTCATGTGCATAGTTTTTACAGTTCAAGTGATGATGTTATTTCATTAGATCCAACGAATTTTGATCGATTGGTTATACAAAGTTCTGATCTTTGGATTGTGGAATTTTACGCTCCATGGTGGTAAGTAATAATTTATTGATTACCAGAAATATTATTTTCTAATCAAGCTACAATCAATATCTTCCATGCGAAATCTGCGAAGAATAAAGCTATTGTTTCTTAACTATTTTAGTGGACATTGTCAGTCATTAACGCCAGAAGTATGTAATAATTAATGTGACGATGTATCGCCATTCTTATTCCAAAATTTTTTTAGTGGAAAAAAGCTGCAACAGCTTTGAAAGGAATCGTCAAATTAGGAGCTGTTGATGCTGATCAGCATAAATCTTTGGGAGGTCAATACGGTGTTTCTGGATTTCCTACTATTAAAATATTTGGCACGAACAAGCATTCACCAAAAGACTTTCAGGGTGCACGTACAGCGGACGCCATCATTGAGCAAGCATTAGCACATCTGAGACAGATAGTCAATGATAGATTAGGAAAACGTGGTGGTGGTGGCGGTAGTAGTGGTGGTAATGGGGGAAGTGGCAGTGGCAGCAATAAAGACGTTGTTGAACTCACAGACAGCAATTTTGAATCTACCGTTTTGAATTCCGAAGATCTCTGGCTCGTCGAATTTTAGTAAGTTTTTTCCTTAAAGTAACTGATAGTCCTTACTAATTCTATTTTCTTAATTCTAGTGCTCCATGGTGTGGACGTAAGTAAACAATTATCTTCACAAATTTGAAGTGTACTATTCTTGTTATTACTTGTCTTTTCCAGACTGTAAGAATTTAGCACCAGAATGGGAAAAAGCAGCCACAGAATTAAAAGGCAAAGTGAAATTAGGTGCATTGGATGCAACGGTACATACACAAATGGCCCAACGTTATGAAGTACGTGGCTTTCCAACAATTAAAATGTTTGCAGCTGGAAGAAAAGATGGACAAGCTCAAGAATATGACGGTGGTCGTACAGCAAACGTAAGTTAGGTCAATTATTTATAAAAAATATTTATTGAGACATTATTTCGATACTTTCAGGATATTGTCACATGGGCATTAGACAAATTTGCTATTAACATACCGGCACCTGACATCCTTGAAATAACTAATCAAGAAATTTTAGATAAAACATGTCAAGACAAGCCACTGTGTATTGTCTCATTTTTACCCTATATATTAGATTGTCAATCAAAATGTCGCAATGATCATTTAACAATGTTAAAAGGTATGGCTGAAAAATATAAACGTAATCAATGGGGATGGTTATGGGTTGAAGCATTCAAACAAGAACAATTGGAAAAAGCGGTAATACTAAATTTCTAATTTATGAATTTGACACTATTTTTGTCAAGGAGGAAAGAACAGCATCAGTACCTACAGAAATGTTGAAGGTGTACAGTTCAAGATGGCGGATAGAGCGCCAGATTAATATTATCTAACGAATAACTTTTGCTCTTATTCATTCACAAATCTTTCATTATTTATTTCAAACAGCCATTCCAAATTTCAGTCATACTTTTCTAACTGAGCAAAAAAGATTTTTTTCCTATTGGTAGAATCATTTGCTAAATATTCGAATTTAAGAGATTTTAGTGACTCTCTTTCTATTAGATATGTCAGAACTTTTTGATCCGTATTGCAATTAGGTTTTGGGAAGAACTGAGAGATTTTTGCTATCAGATAATGAAACGTTGAGAATTTAGAATTTTTTCAATAGAATGGTTTTATTTAGAGCTTTTCGTAATTCATTTTGAAGAAAACGTTTTCGGAAAAGCGTATAATCCTATTTCTTTTGGACTAAATTTTAAGTTTTTAGAAATCGAGTTTCAGTAAAGAGATAAATTAGTTTAAAAAAATAAACAGTCAGCAGAGCTTGAAAAAGTGAACAGAGTTTGCAGAAGTTTGGAGTTATAACTTTAGATAGCTTATGCTAATTCTTTTTTAGTTTTGTTGTAGGAAACTTCTCTCTTCTTGTACGATTGTTCCTTTTTTAACGTTTACTTATTCGAACATCGTTCTCTACTGTTAAAATTCTATCAGACGAACAGAGAGTTGAACTCACGAGAGCAAACAAATAATTTTCTTGAGTTTGTTCTGTTTTTAAGCTTGTTCTCTTATCCAGAAAATAGGTTCATTGCTCAAATGGGACGATCTTAGCTATTTTTTTCTCATAGACGGTAATGTTCCATCTAAAATGAGTACTTCTTAAAAATGATAAAAACGTACTTGAAGTAATAAAAAGTATTAAAAAAATTTCTTTCAGTGAAACAGAATTCAAACTCTCGATGTATGCGTTATCTTGGACTTTGAGTGCTAAAAAACATCGAAAAGTACTCTTTCTGCCATGTTACTGTTCATTTGTTTCATGCTTTTTGTAGCTGGGAATTGGTGGGTTTGGATATCCTGCGCAAGTTGCTATCAATTCTCGAAAAGGAAAATATGTTGTTTTGAAAGGTTCATTTAGTGAACAAGGCATTGGTTCATTTATGAAAGAATTATCTACTGGACGAATATCCAGTCCATCTGAACCGCTGGCCGATAATAAATTACCAACAATTGTTGATAGTCAACCATGGGATGGAAAAGATGGTGCACTGGATATTGTTGAAGATATTGATTTAAGCGATGTTGATATGGATGAAGATGACAGTAGTACGAATAAAAAGAAAGTTGAACTTTGAATGAGTTCATAAGAAAATAGACATTGTCTTTACATATCAACGCTACATCTAAGTCCATTGACCAAATGAATTGTTGGATAGTGCTCACTATAAATCCTTTTTATTCATTTGTTCAAATCTCATGTTATACTCATGTCACAAAAAATTGGTGATCGTTCTGATAATTGACGAATGCGCATACACATCGTTATGCTTAGCTAGGCTTTCATTTTCGTCTTTTTTGTTTAATGTTAAAGTTTGCTTTTTGTTTGTATTTTTTAAGTTTTTATATAATGTTACTTGACTACAAAACTTGCATTCCTAGAAAAACTGTTCTTTTAGAACCAGCATTCTTATTCCAAATTTTCACATTAAATAGTGTTAATTAGTAGATGATAACTTCTGGTATCCGAGAAATGTTGACCGTCCGTTGTACCACCTATTGGTCATTTTATCAAGAACAACTTGATTTCTGAGAGCTGAAAGTGATCTCTTTTAAAATGTTCAGTTTACTTAGTTTTTTTGTTACGAATGACTTGTCTGGTTGTGTTTGTCTTTATTTATTGTTATGTTGTTATTGTATATTTTTTTTGTTTTTTGAATGAGAATATTTCATTCGGTTGTTATCAAATATGACATTTTCATTGTTATTATCACATCTTCTTTCATTGTTCAGCAACAAACAACGACAAAACATCCCGTTTTTTCTTGCGTTCGTCTACTGTTACTCGCTTAGGCTTCTCTAGATTAATAAACTGGTCAAAAACTGAATAATTTCTGATGACTAAAGAGGAAAATACTTATCTCTTTTTAAATTTTAATTGAATGTGACACTTTAGATTGAAAAACTCAATAAAGGATATTATTTTTAACCATCTGAGTTTTCCTAATCAGCTTCATACATTGGAAATTGGTAAATTAGGGCAGAACATTTACATAAATAACTTACGATAAATATCGCTGATAAGGCTTTTGAACGCGCATTCAAATATTTTGGTTCAAAAAATCGATAAACATTTATACTTCTTTTACCCGAAAAAATCTTCATTATGATTTAGTTAGCGAAAGTGTCATCAAGATCCACTAGAACAGTCATCGAATCAATTTTTTCCCTGAGCTAGAGTAGATGAATAAGAACAATGTTATTTTGCATTCTAACATTTTCTTTTTTTTGTTTTTGTAATTTTCCCATGTTTTCTTAAGACTTCTTTCCTGCAAAAAAATTCAAGTTTTCTTACCAGACGTGGAGTTTGCGATAGGACGCATCATCAGATAGCATGAAGTGTGTCCTTTCAGAAAATATAACATTTATTACCTAAATTTTAAATCTCATCAGTTTATTAGTAGTTTTACTGAAAGTTCTACCAAAATTAGCAAGGTTTTAGCCATATTTTCCGTTTTTGCCATGGATCTAGACGACTACAATTTTGACAGTTATTAGAGAGGATATTAAGCTCATGTTATTCATTATTTTGTTGAAAAAGCTTTTTGAGCTAAATTTCACTCGGTTTTTCTAAGAAGAATTAGAAGAATTTAAAAAAATCTTCACCATTTGTAAATAATGGACATATTTTAGCCAGGCCACTTTGGATAAGCTAATACATCCTTTCGCAATCGTGTAGCCTTGGTAATGAGAGTAACTTGTGAGCAGTTGTTGAATATTTATTCTATGTAGGAATTTTTTAGGGATAGAGAAGTACCCCGGTCAAACAAATCGTATACGATCGTATCTAAATTAGACAAAATCATATCAGATCGTATGAAAATCATAGATGAATCGTGGTATCTGATTTGTCCTCTGGATCGTATAATACGATCTTTGTAGATCATATACGATCATACAACTTCGTATGAAATCGTATAGTACGAACCAGAGGACAAATCAGACACTATGATTCGTATGTAAATCATACATAATCATATATGGTTTCGTACGATTCGTATACGACCTTGTACAATCGGATAGTACGATTCAATCACCTGGGTAACTTGACTTAACGGTTATTTTGTTTATGATCTACTTTGAAGGTTATGTGTTCACCTGTTCTAAAGCTTATGTACTGCGTTGTCCTTCAGATAATTAGTAAGTGGATAAGGAACAACTGAAGTATTTGAGTAGAAGAACTTTGCGCCAGACTAGCCTTTTGGTCAGAACTACAGTTTAATATGCTGTAAAAAGAAAGGATGTACAGCTTTGATGATTTTGTCGATTCTTAGGCACCGATTATCGATATTCTTCCTTCGTCCAATAAGGATTCGCGATAATAAGAATCGGTTTTATGTTTTCTTTTTTGAATATTTTGATCTAAGAAACTTTAACGGTAAAGTGATTTCATCAACAAAATTTATTCCTCAAAAAAAAAAAAAATTTTTTTTTTATTATAATAAAAATAATTTGGTAATCAAATTACGTATTCGTATTATTTACTCACGTGTTTTAAATAGAAGAACGAGAAAAATTACGGACGAAATAAATTTCTCTTTTTTTATTGTCTAGAACGTAGACGATTTTTGAGTTATTAAACTCTAAATTATTTGTTTCAGTTCTCATGCCTAAAGGACGAAAAGAGAATATCAAAAACAATATTTATATGTTCATTACAGACAAATGAGTGAGCTTTGGACCTTTCTTTTTTATTTACTGTACACATTTTGTTTCTTTCTTTTCTTCAACAATACGTTATCGAAATGATGTTTTTATTCACAGAAAGAGAGAAAGTTGTTCGTTTCTCTTCTTCCTTCACCCTCCATAATACACACATACTATACTAAAATAAATGATTAGTATCTGTATAGCTTCTTTAGACAGATGATAATTATTCGAGTTTATCATACGTCGTGTATTGATACGTAAAGAAGAAATGTTTTTTTTTTGTTATCATCAGTGTCAGTAATTTTCACAGAAGAAGGATTTTCTCCAGGGTTAACAGATTAAGGGTAGAAAAAAGTAAGAGAAAGACAAAGACTCTCCTTATTTCGATATCTCTACTAATCGTACCAAAAAAGACATGCTAGTGTATCTTTTAGGGAGATAAAAACAAATTATAAATGAACTACATATTCTCTTCCATGCTATTTGTTTTTTATTCTAGTAGTAGTCGCATGCTTTATCTGTAAGACAGTATTTACCATCTACCAAAACTTATCTGTTTTGTTTTGTTTGCCTTGGAAATCTGTTCGCACATTCTACTACAGTATGTTTTGCAAAGATATATAATCAAGTTTAAGTATTCCATTGAAAAAATTCACAGTCAGTTTAAAATCGTCATTTTCTCTAGATTATTGCAGCAAAATCAAAAAGCTTCGTTTTCTTCGGACCTGATAGTTTTTGACTGAAGATCAAAGTGAATGGCACATTACGATCATATATTCTATATATTAAAGAGTCTGATGTTTTTATTACTTGTCGTTGTGATAGGGGAGTGTCTGACAATTCGTTTACATTCATATTCTTTTTTCTCACCTTTCTTTTTATTGCATTGTTGATTTCAATACATGATGCTTATGGCTATTTTTTAGATGTTTATATGAATGAATAAAAGGTATTATTTAAAATAGTTGATATTGGTGATTACATCTAGTCAATCAACGGTACTTTATACTATAAACGAGTAAGTGAACTTTTTGAATGAAAATTGCAAATGGAAGTTTCATCACTTAAAAAAATAAGAAATTGTCATATATCTTATGTAAGCTTACTTTTTGTAGAATGAACCAATGTGTACGTGTGTATGTATGTGTGAGAGAGAGAGAGAGAAAGAGAGAAGAAATTAGTCTGTCCGTATATCAGTAGTGATTCTTAAGTATTCAAATAGTCTCCATTTCTTATCAAATTTTTATATAGAGTAATGTAAATTGTAATGTCGATCATTGCGAATACTGTCTTTAATGTGTACGTACAGCTGTTGTTTTGTTTAATATTGATGTGTACATTATCGATATTAGCATGATGTTGTCAAATTAATATATGTAGAATGATTCCTATGATCCTTAACTTTCAATAGTTTTTTAAAAACTATAAATAGATAATGGTCATCAGATGTTTCGACAGTAGAAGACATATATAGACCCAATCAATCATCATTTTGGATATGTTCGTTGTGTGACTTTTTTTCATTTTGCTACTCATATATCCATATATCTGCCGTTGTAGAACGTAATCAGTGAAAATTGTATTCGAATTTGATTAAAATTTAGAGTTGAACACACCACACCTCTGAAGTGTCAAAAAAGAAATTTAAGTATCCATGAATATATCAGTAGAACTTGAGGTCAAATTTTTCTTCTCACATGTTTTAACAACGCAAAGAACGTGATAGTTATCTATTTTCTCTTCTTCTGGTCTCAATGTTAAATGAACTGAAACGACTGACTACTTCGAAGGTCATTGTCCACTCTTTTTGTTATGTGTTTAACAATTATTTTTAACACTGGAAAACAAGCATTTTTAGTTTAAAAAAAATGAAGGTAATTGAATAAGTCGATTAAAATCATCTTAAAGGTCGCGACATTATCAATAGAAAAGTTATAAACTTTTTTTTTTACATATAATATACTTCGAATCACCTTTTTCATCCAATCCATCAAAATTCTCTAACTAATTTTGGACTGTAATAAAAAAAACATAATTAACTTTGTTAAGAGGCTTATTTTGTTTTCATTATTATTTGAGGTGAATTGAACGTGTATTATTTAATATATAACTGTTTTCTCTTTGATCCGTAATGTAAGACTATTATCGTCTACATTTTATTTGAAAATTAGTATTTGTATTAAGTAATATCGAACCATTTTCTTTTTCTATTGAACTGTAATTGATTCTGTCTCTAAACGAAAAGCACGAATTTCACTGAGAGGGATAATGTAATCGTTTACTTTCATCGCACCAGTGAAATCAAGGTTGTTTTTCTTCTTTTTTTTTCTTTTCATAAATATACTTTCTCATTCTTACTCTACAAACTATTCATATTGTTTTTCATCGATGAAAACTGTAAGTGTCTGTAGATTCAGTTATTTACTTTCAACATCTACTTGAACTATTCTAAAGAAGAAGACGAAAAAGTTTTCAAGTCTGCAGAACGAAATCAATACATCGGTTTTAATAAAACAATAGTGTAACCATCATTGGTTAAAGAGAGTAAAGTTTAATAAGGATTGTCAACGTTTGAAAAATTATATAACAAAAAAGTTTATATTGATGATATTTTTATTCTTACAGGTACTATTTTATAACATTTAATTATGTGCAATCATCTAAAATCTATTTGGCGGTACTATTGAATTTATTATTATTATTATTATTCTTTTTCAATTATATTTCGTTTATTTATTAACAATAATAAATAATGCAATCATTAACAATTTGTGCCCGATTAATGGCGAGAGCCATTTGTGGTACAGAAGCTGAAAGTGTTCTTTATCATAGTATATTACGTTTATCCACTCAATCATCGTTACATTATATTCAACCACAACGAATTGCCTCATTACCGGGTATTAAACGTGGTTGTGTTCATCTAGTCACAGCATCATCCGGTTATTCAGGACATCATAAAACAGATACAACAATAATAAATGAATCAACAAAAGATTTAAAATGTTTGGATGTCTATGGTGATGATGCATTTTTCATTACAAAGCATCGTATTGGTGATTTTTTAGGTAAATTGTTCACTAAACTATTTTTATATGTAACTACTATAATTGTTAAATTTTTTTACTTGTAGGCGTTGCTGATGGTGTAGGCGGATGGAGAGAACATGGAATTGATCCATCCATATTTTCTAGTTCATTAATGGATGCCTGCAAAACATTAATTGATAAAAAATTAATTGATTTAGGACCATTAACATTGAAAGAACTTCTATCAATGGGCTACAAACAACTTCTTGAAAATAAACAATGTATTGTCGGTATGTATCAGCAAATTTTTTGTACATAATATTAATCACTAGGTTGACTTAGTTATTTTAATAAAAACTGGTCCATTACTTTACAACTGATTAGTAGCTGTTAGTATTTGAGTTGAAAAGACATCACTACAACGATCTCTAATTATGTATGCTTAAAATACATATTTTTCATTTAGGAAGTAGTACAGCTTGTATTGTTGCATTACATAAAGAAAAAAGTATCTTACATACAGCCAATTTGGGTGATAGTGGTTTTGTTATTATACGTAAAAATCAAATTGTCCATCGTTCACAAGAACAACAACATTATTTCAATTCTCCATTTCAATTAGCTATTCATCCCACATTATCAGATCCTTTATTGATAGCTGACAGGTAAAAATAACAAGTGAACATACATAAAAAAAAAGTGTTTAAATGAATATTATATAGAATTAAAAATGTAAAAAGAATTATCTGAGGTAAAAATAATGAGTCATTTTGCTAATACGTCTATGTTGCTTTTTCATTTTCATTGAGCTATGAAATTTACGTATATTTGCCGTATTTTTATTTGTTTTTGTTTTTCTAATGTTTTTAAAAAACATTCAGTTTTTTTCTTTCTGTATTTTAGTCCGGATTTGGCATCTGTTAGTTCATTTGATGTTAAAGAAAATGACTTTATTCTTGTTGGTACAGATGGTGTATGGGATAATTTGCCTGATACAGCAATATTGAATGAAATTATAAAAATCAAAGTAAGTCATATTCGAACAATTGTATCGTGAGTAGTTACTGGTTGTTGTTTGCGTTGTTTTTTATTTTTACCGTTATTTTCTATTAGAGACGTTTTTGTTTGATCATAATCATTATCATCAAAAATACTGGATGATTGTTCATAATTATCATAAATAGAGTCGTTTAGTGAATCAGTTGTCACCCCACATAGGTTGCTTTCATCATCATCGTCATGGTGTGAATCAGATACACTTCTTGCACTAGAATGATATTGTTTTGGATTTTTATCTAAAGACAGTGAAAAAGCGGTTTGTTAACAAAATTCATAGCTGGAAGAATCTACTAGTTGCTAAGACAATGTATCCAGCTTAGATTAGGGAGTGGAGCATGTATGTATATGCGTGTGTTAGAGATGTGCAACCCAATCTGATTCGGGTACGGATGCCGTTTTTTTAACATTTATCCGAAACCTGAAAGATTTTAGTAAAAAATACACAATTTTAGTTAAAATACATTAAATTTTAAAAGAGTTGCTTGAGAATGTAATGATAAGTTGATATATCCAGCCGAAAAACAAAAGTTTTTAGGTGGAAACCGAAAAGTAGAAAATTTTTAGGCTTAAGTCGGGTACGGGTAAAAAAAACATTTTCGTATTGCGTACCAGTCCGAAAACGGTACCCATGCACAACTCTAGTGTAAGTAGAAATCCATCCCTTCGTTTGGATAACGTTACGTCAAAATTCTTTAAAAAAATGTTCACTTACTCAAACGTTTTTTAGAAAGTTTAAGCTAAGAAACTACTTTTTATGCAGCTGAGTGAGTTCTGACTAACTTTTGATCTTCATATTGTTAATGAATCTTGTTTTGAACAAAAAGTATGATAAAAGATAAATAGACGGTAATGACAAGCTCTTTTTCAGCCTTGAATTAACTTAAAATATACAGTTACTTAGCAGACTTCCGATACCCGTCCATAATGTCTCGAAAACGTTGAATGTATTTCTGAAATAGTAGTTTAGATAGCATAAGATTGGTAATTATTTCAAGTATACAATATACATACTTTCGTTTAATTTTCCTTCACTTTTTGATGAACGTATTTTCAATTGAATAATTGATGATGTATCATCTTGGTTTATATTTTTTTGAGATAATTTTGGTGATGATGTATCCATATCAATCATTAATATAGAATCTAAATGATCATGAACAATTGGATTTGATTGTTTGTTAAGCAATAATTGTTGTTGATATTCTTCTTGATTATTTTCATTATCATTACTAATAACTGTTTGAACATTATTTGTTTCCTCATTTGTTAATAGAACGGTAATATTTTTATTTGCATTTATAGTTGGTGTTCGTAATTTTGGTTTTTTAGAATTCATACATGCTCTTTGTAGAATTATTTTAAGACGTTGTACGATACCTAATAGTGTAAATGTGAATAATATTAAAAATACAAGACCAAGCATCGGTGCAGCACCGATTAATGCTGCTCTTAACCAATGTGGTATAATAATGGACATGACTCGTAATTTGACACTTAAATAAAGAAGTAAAATGATGATTTGAACAATTTTTTTCAATTTTAATAATAGTATCGAAAATTAACAGTTGATAAGACTAGTTTCTACTGTATTGTGCTAGAAACAAAAGAACATTCACCTTAATGTACACACACACACACACACACACAAGATAATTATAACTCTATTATTAATATTTGTGTTTATGAAATAATTAACAATTCATGGTGTAAATATTTACGGATAACTTTTCCATATGTCGACATTTATCCACATGGACAGAATATCAGAAAGCGTCTAGTCTTCTAAAAAAAGAAAAGAACGCACCTCAGAGAGTTTCTTATTCTTTTTCCTTTTGCTTGTCTATAGTAGATAGAAAAGAAGAGTATGAGATTTTTTTTTTTTGTTATTCTCAGTTGTCGTATTTTCCTTACGTATTGTTAATGTCGAAAATGTGAAACGATATCTGATAAATTGTAAAGTGATATATATTTTTTTTTGAGGTCTTTAATATTTTCGTAATAATCATCATGATTCTAACACTTTATATATTGATGCTTGGCATAAACATGACAGTATATCACAACAGACTGCTTTTTTTTTTATCGAATTGATTGATACACTGAAAGATGTTGCTCGTGTTATTTTATGTGTTTGAAACATTATTCTTTGAATTATTATATATTCGTCAAGAACAAGAGAAAAAAAGAAAAAAAATTGACGAAAAAATTCTTCTTCCTGTTTTTATTTTTTTTTGTTTTTTTGTTAAGATTTGTCAGTTTCTTCTAGTTTCGAATGAGAATACGATATAAAAATACTAATTTTTACAGAAAAAGAGAGAGAAAAAGACGCTTTGACTTTTGGCCTTAATTTTGTCATTTTTTATTCTTCTTTTAGAAACCAAACTTAGAGAATTTACAAAAAGCTGCACATGCCATATCAAAACGAGCATTAGAAAATGGTTTTGATCCACATTATATGTCACCATTTGCACGCAGTGCACGTCGATCACTAGGCATTAATATTACAGGTATAAAATTATCTTTCTAATTAGACATCAGAAATAAAAATTGAAAATAATTGACTTTAAAACGTTAAATATATCAATTGATTCTGTTCATTATTTTTTTTTATTTTTTTTGTTTTTAGGAGGAAAACCTGATGATGTTACCGTATTATTGGCTGTTGTCGTTATGTCCTGATAGTTAAAAAGTTAAAATTAAACTTTTTACGGTATTAATAAAATGAGTATTAATGTGATACAAATTAAACCGGCGAATATATATGTATTTTTAATTCAGGAATTTCTCAAATTGAATTCGTACGGAACATCAAAAAAGTAGACTGGTGCTATTTATCTTTTGGACTTAGCATCATAACATGCAAAAATCTCAAATATATACCTTTTTATTATCCTTTTCACCCACAATCATAGATGCTAAAGTAACAAATCTAGTCGTTTAGTTTTGATCAGTAGTTTAAGACGTCTTTACTAAAAATATACTAGAGCATCTGTGAAGTATACATAGTTGTTTATTTTCCTACGTATAACACATCGACTTTGAAAATAAAGGATGTGATATATATATACAGACGATGATGCACTATTGCAATAGGGAATTTGATTCTGATGACAGTTGTTCATTCAGACAAAAACATGCTGTTTCTTGGCGGGAAAAAATTATAGAAACACGTCATATGGTTCTGTTATTTCAGACTGTATATAACGTTAAAAAATATTATATAAATGACTGAAAAGATCGTTGTACCAGCTATATATTTTGTCAAAAAGAAAATTTGAAAACGAGTCCTGTTTTAACTTCATTAATTAAGTATAGAAGATTAACAGACTGGATTTCCAAAAACTTTTGAAAATAATTTAATCTCTACATATCACAAGTTGATTTCAATCATACCACTGTGATGAAGGTCAATAAATCTCTTAGTTTTGGTAGTTTTCTAAAAAAAAAAATCTGTTTTCTAAACAATGAAACATTGTTCAAAAACCAATGAAAGATATGAGAAAAGTTGCTTCTCTTCTGCTCCCGTTGTAGATGAGACTTCATTTTACAAAATAAGACGTTGTTCAATGCTCTATGATTCGAAAAAGATCGATTTTGAGTGTTGATAAGATTTAAGCTCGATTTTTGATGGAAAGAACTTTATTCAGTTCCGAACTTTAAGTGAATTGGGCAACATAGAGCAAAAATATAGTATATTTTTATCTAATTATAATTAGAATCAAATTCTGTATTAGAATAGAGCATCATTGTTTGCATATGTTGATACATTTTATGTACTGTCCGAAGCTTGGTGGAAAATGTAGGAAAGGAAACAACTGCGTATACTAAATTTTCTTAGTGCTATACGATAAGTTTTTAACAATTGTAATTCTCAAAACATATTCTTTGTTATATTTGTTTTCTCCTTTTTCTTTTTTATAACATGTAATTTCGTGTACGAAACGTAAGTACATGTATCCTGTTATCTTTTTTTTTCTTGCTTCATTTTATTTGAAATACCATGCTGATTTGTTTATTTGTTTGTTTGCGTGCGCGCGTGTGTTTTTGTTTTATTAACGTTTATGATATTGTTGTACGCAGACGCATCGCATGAGTTTTTCAATTTCCCACATTGGGAATGTTCAAAAAAGATAACGTTTTTATTATAAACCTTTATAAAAGAAAATATTCATATATTGATTATAATAACAGATTTAAAGTAAGAAAAAAGTTATCTATGGTGTTCAATGTTTTTGATTCGAATGGAGATCTCTCACCCTCTGTCCTAAAAGTTTTTTGGACTATCTGTCAAATTTTTTGTATTTTTTCACTACCAACTCTTCATTTTTTTTACCACTGAATACCGATCAAAAAAAAGTTAATTTTCTTAGTGTCTAATCAAAAAGAATCAAAACTCTTGATTTTGTAAAAAGAAATGATGATTTTTGTTGTTCGACATATGTACAAACGATCGATGATTTAGGAGCTGTACACAAGTAATTCCAATCTGTTATAGGAGAGGTACAGTGGACCCTCAAGAAAAAGAAAAAAAAGAGAAAGAGAAAACTCGAAAGTAAAGAGAAAACCCTATGAAATGTGAGCTAGTAGAGTTTGACAATTTTTTCCGTCTTTTGCTATATGACGTTCGACGTCAACTGTCCAGCAGATTCAGAGAACTAAATCTTTTATTAGCAGAGACATATTACATTCTTTGAGGAAAGGCTGTCAGTGTGATGACTTTCTCTTTCTTCCCAACTCATCAAACTTTGCTAAAATATTCATCTGTATGTCATACATTTATTGTAGTTGTCTAAACCGAAATATAGATTTTTGAACATCTGATAGGATTTTTTGTAAATTCAAATTTTCCCTGTTGCAACTCTTTTTCAATTGACAAAAATGATGATATTCAGAATGTTATCGTTGAATCACGTATGATTGTTACCAGAATGTTATCTTTTGTGAAGAAAAAACACCTATCAAAAAGTTTTTAGCATTGATACACATACATACATTCTTCAAAGATAATTATTTCAAAAAGATTGAGTTTTCTCCCGAAACATTTTTTATCAACGCAATTTTTCGAAAATCTTGTCGAGTTCACTGACTTCTATTATTGGAGATATAATACGTAAATTGTACAGATTTGATTTTAGATGGTTGAAAAGTTGAGTTCTGAAAAATCAGTCTCCACTAAAACGGCTGCCATTCAAAAACAAAAAGATATTGGGAGTTGATTCTTGCGTTATTCGAACGGACATGAATAACGCTTCATTTTTATCTATAACAAGAAATCCAGTGAAGAGGTGTCTATTCAAAACTTGGATCGAGACAAAAACCATATTGCGCATGACTTTTTCAGGTTGCAGTTGGAGGCTTTTACTTCCCTCATAGAGTAGTAGAAAAGCCACTAGGTGAGTTTTGGTGGCTGATATTTCTATATAAACTGATCGAAGCTGCATAAATCACTCCAGAAGAAGTTGCAAAAGTTTACTTCAACCATAAGGAATGTCTCGAAAATTTGACATAGAGGGGATCTAAAAACGAAAAATAGTGGATAGCGTTGTTTGTATACGTTTCTTAACATCATTTCAAAAGGAATATTAGTTCTACTATAGTAGTTCACCGTTATTATCAAATATCAAATATTTTCAAAATTTAATCCAAGAATCTTTTCTTAAAATACAATAAAACCTAAAGATTATTCTCTGATTTTTTTTCAAATTTTTATACTATTTTTTCTAGCATAAAAATAAAATCTGTTTGTATTGCTTAGTTTTTACCTCATATTTTAGAACAGTAAAAATGACTCAATCTCAACCATCAACGTCAATATCGGAAGCGTTTATTGAGGATTGTAGATTGACACTAGGTCAGTGGGATGCTGGAAATATTGAAACATTAGGATTATTATTTAAAGATCAAAGTAGTTGTCCACAATTATATAACAATGATGCGTTACGCAAGGAATTTCAATCATTGTTAGATTTTGATTTGAACAAGCACAATGATACACCAATGATGCGTATTACTCTATCCGTAATGATACGATTTAAACATGTTCATCTTTGCGCAGATGATTTCTATCGTCAAATCTATTTACGATCGTCCACACCACCATCATCGAATACTCGATTATTTTCAATTCAACAAGAGCTAAGTGATGCCTATTGTTTTCTATTAGCTCAAGTAGATAATGAATTAACGGATCCAATGTTACGTAATTTACAATTTTATTATGCTATTCAACAACCATCTATTGATTCTCTGTTAACATTGTACAATGTATTATCCCGTCAAAATTGTCCATATACATTAGAACATTTTTTTAATGATTTTGGAAATTGTTATTATGTTACAAAAAGTCTAATCAAAATATATCAGTTGGTGGAAAACTTTAAAATATTTATCAAGAAATATAATAAATTTTTAGAAATGTATCAGAATGACAAATTAGGTATAACAGAGACGAATGATCGAGAAACGTTAATATCTACAACGGCAGCACAAGACAATCATGAAAAATTAAAAAGTATGTACAATTATCAAATACATATTTTTTTAATGAGATTAAAATTGGATTAAGTTTAATATTTATTTTTAAATTTAGATAATATTCCAAAAATTCAGCCAGTACCTAATCCAGTTCCCGTTCAAAACAATCTCTCATTACAACAATCTCAAACAATTATACCAAAACAAGGTTTATGTGTGATAATTAATATCGTTAATTTTAGTTCAAATGTATATGAAACAACAAAACGAGCCGGCTCAGAAAAAGATGTTGCTTTGGTAGATAGTATATTTAATGCTATGAATTTTACAATATTAATATGTGAAAAAGATTTTACTAAAGATGATTTGGACAAGGCAATGCATCAGATCAAAACGTCTGAAAAATATAAACGATATGATTGTTTAGTGTTGTTTATTATGTCACATGGATTACTTCATACTGTATTTACAGCCGACGCACAAACAGTTTATGTGAGAGATTTAATAATGGATTTTAATGATTCTTCTAAAACTTCAATATGGAACGGTAAAACACGTTTCTTTTTTATTCAAGCGTGTCGTTCTGTTCCACAAAATAATAAAACTTCAAATATGTCGTATAATATCACTGATAAACATTTATCACCGAATATGTTGGTGGCATTTTCTTGCAGCGAAGAAGAAAGCTCAAAACGAAATCCCAATATTGGAAGTATTTATATCCACATATTGTGTATTATGTTCTATATGTACAGTAAAATGTAAGTAAAATCGAACACAGTAAAGTATCAATAATATGATGTGGTTATATATCGTAGCTACTATTTTGTTGTGAATTTCTGAAAATAACTATCAACCGGTTCTTACACAAAAATATTTGCGTTGTCATCTTAAAAGTGAGAGTCTAGGTCAGGAATCATCAGTTGTCGAAGCACCACTTTGTTTTGTCAACGTCTATCTGCATTAGTTATAATATTTTAAATGTCATTTTGACGTCATCTTTCCGTTCTCATAAGAGCAGTGGCGAACTAGCGCCGTACTCCAATTGATACAAAATTAAGAAACGGAAACTATAATATCAAACTAATTACTTCCTGAATAAGTTTTAGTGCGGTACTTATCTGTTAGAAATAAATATACAAAAAGAGAATTCGAGGTATGTCTTATCTGTACATAATCTATCTTTCGTCAAAACTGCAGTCAAATCTAAATTTTCTCGCCAAGCAATAGTCTTTTTCTAGTCGAAATTTAAATAGATTTACTCTTAGATGAGAAAAATACTGCCTCTAAATTGGTAGTCGATCTTATCAGAATTCAGAAATTTTTTTTCCACTGTAACTGACACTACAGTTCGGCATAACATTTTTTGTTTTTGATTCTATTATGACTAAAGTGTTCAAAATGCTATTGTTTTAGAAAACCAGTTGATAAAATTCTTGAATTAACTGCTGAATATCTTAAAAGAGCCAATGAAAAATTAGTAGAATTATATCCGGGTGAAAAAGCACATCGTTTAGATCAACATCCAAAATATGTCAGCTCTTTGAGGGATAGCGTATATTTCTCTGAGCGTTGTTTAGTAAGAAGAATTCAATATTTAACAGACTTTAATTATGCATCATTAAAAATTCCCTTAGCGTTATGGACCGAAGTTGATCATTATGTGAAAACAAAATTGATTTATGATACAAAACCAAACCACCACAGTGATTACTGCACCGAATGTCGATCGCATAAAGGTTGAGTTTCTCATTGTTGATAATTTTGCTGTGATGTAATTTAGTAAGCAATTACTTGTTAAAAAATGACTTAAATATATATATATATACTCCTCAATATACGTTTAAAATATTTAAAAAGCTATTGTTCAATCACTGAGAGTTCATTGTTCAGTTTATGGAATCTGTCGCTCTTCTAATACTTTTTTCAACGTCTCCAACAAATTTCTTATGAAATACGATTGTCTAAGATATTGTGTAACTTTCTGCCATAAGATCTTCCAAGCAAGTACGACTCATCTGTGCAGTGTAAATTTGATAGATAGATATATAGTGATCTAGAATATGTATAAGAAACATGGTTAAATAAGACTTCATCCTCCCACTCCAATAGTCTCACCTATACTAGAGATTGAAAAGAAAAAGATACTTTTTAAAAGTATCTTTGAAAAGAGTTAGGTACAGAATTTTTGAGATTTTCTGTTTTTATAAGTTCTTATTATAAGATTTTACAAAATCTAATGTAATCTGGGAATAAAATCTTCTATGATTTTGCAAGATCTTCAAAATTTTTTTGATCTAGATAGCACTGATTATAACCGGGAATTAGAGCAAATGGTATCTCACCGTTTTTTTGTTTGTGCTATATAGCCCGTAACTTTCATGAGCTGAAGTGAAAACTATCCGCCATAAATTCCTTTGCCTCTTACTCTTGATGCATTTCAATTAATCTTTTTTTTATAGATAGAATAGTGTCCCTTTTTTGATAACTTAGTGATTGAATATTTTGAACCGACTACCCTCTAAAAAATATTCGTACTTTAGAAAACGTAAAAAAAGTATTTGCATTTGTAACTAATAAAAACCTTTTTTCATTTTGTAAGGTACCGTTTATCCATTTTGTACAATACCTTTGACAATACTTGCAAAAACGGAAAAACGGTATTGTGCAAAACGGATAAACGGTACTTTACAAAACGAAAAAAGGTTTTTATTAGTTAAAAATGCAAATACCTTTTTCTGTTTTCTAGAGTATGAATATTTTTTAGAGAGTACATCATACCGCTTGAGAAATATGTTTTTTGTACGATAAACAGTCAGTACCTGAGAATTTTCGGCATATCTTCCTCATTTTACTGGATGTGTTTCTTTTGCCGGTGCTTTTATTATTTCTTTATCATCTTTTCTGTTATTTGCATCTATTTTCATTGACCATAATGGAACTTGGTCTCTTTCCAGTGAATAGTTTGAACTGGTTTTGAATTATGTTAATATAATACTTTTTTCTGGTTTTTTTTATGTAATTTTTAAACGATTTTAACATGAATAAGAATATATATTTTTAATTATTTTATTTTATTTATGTATTAGAATTTTTGCTTAATTTAATCAAGAAGTACTGAAGTAATTAACGAAGCGTTTCATGTGGTACAACAGTAATATCAGGGTGATATTACTGATGAAGACAATAGAGATTTTCATGAAAATAATTGTGCAGAATAAAAGTGAAACAAATATATATATATAGAAATATATTGAAATGAATAGTTTTTTCGCTAAAAATCAACAAGTAATGTTCATCTGGCGATTTACACGATCATTGACCGTAGATGTAGAAGAAGTCGAATAATGGATGAATAGAAAACTATTGAAATGGATATAGCTTAAATAATAAACTATTGAAATAATTTAAATGATCGTGTTCAAGCGGATACTATTTATTTGTTTTTGGCTTTATTCACTTCACTTTATTTTTTACTTTTTGATGACCAGTGGAAAAACACCAAGGTACACACAAAGAACCATACGGCTGTAAAGAATTAATCAGAGTCACGGAATCTCTCGTTTTGCAGAGAAATATCTGGACTACAATCCCATATAATTAAAAAAATTTCAATTCAAAAATTTCAACCGAGAATCATCCGAAGAAGCAGCTTGCAAAAACAAAAACAGAAGCAACAATTATTGGCTTCTATTTCTGATACTACTATCGATTTCAATGAACCGTGCAGGTGCATGTTTTTTGAATAACTTTTTAACAACAAAATCTAGCGACCTGGGGTTTTCGCCAATCGAAGGAGAACAGTTGGGGCAGCAAACCTATATGAAATAAAAATAAAAATTTTCAAAATATTTTCCTAATTAATTAAAATTAGCCTATTTTTGGGTGGAAAATTTTTTTAATTTTTTTTGCTGGGTTTATAGATCTCGAGGTCCTCTTTCAAATGGTATCGAAACGGCCCCCCAAAATTTTGGTTCCTTGTCGAGATACAAGCGTTGTAAAACTGGCTCACTTTTCCCGAAATTCGAGTTTTTAGTCGTAAAAAGTGTCGGCATATAGGTATTCGAGTGCGTTGATCATCGTACTGATGTCACTTTTATGTTTGCATGCGCAAAAGATGAGTTAACAGAGTTTTTTGAAAAAGTGAGTTTTCTAAGGGAAAAGGCAAAATATTGCAGTTTTTCAAAAAACTCTGTTAACTCATCTTTTGCGCATGCAAACATAAAAGTGACATCAGTACGATGATCAACGCACTCGAATACCTATATGCCGACACTTTTTATGACTAAAAACTTGAATTTCGGGAAAAGTGAGCCAGTTTTACAACGCTTGTATCTCGACAAGGAACCAAAATTTTGGGGGCCGCTTCGATACCATTCGAAAGAGGACCTCGAGATCTATAAACCCAGCAAAAAAAATTAAAAAAATTTTCCACCCAAAAATAGGCTAATTTTAATTAATTAGGAAAATATTTTGAAAATTTTTATTTTCACATAGGTTTGCTGCCCCAACTGTTCTCCTTCGATTGGCGAAAACCCCAGGTTAAACATGAAAAGATTTTCTTAATTGTATCCAATTCTTTAGGAGAGAATTTTATTTCAAAAATATATCAGTTACCTCAAATGGCTTTTATTTATGTATATTGTAAACAAAAAGTGAAACATGAAAAATGGGCAAACAATTACGTTATAGTAACGAAAATAAAATACCTTTAGGGTTTTGTGACATTGACAAAAAACCCTTTATTTTCTTAAAACACTTTTCCAAAAAGTATTTTAAAAAAACCAAACCGGTTTAGTAACGATACAAAACCCTTAAATAGTTTCTCAAATCTGGTACTATATCCTTTTGGGTTCACAAATAGGAATAAAAAACCGTTTGGGTTTTTTAAACTACCTATTTTTTTAGAGAGAAAGAAGATGATCTGTATACTCACATAAAGCCAATTGGCTTTATAATCTTCTTGCTTGAAAAAATCTGCAAATAATTCAGCTTTTTCACTCTCAGTAGAAGCAGTTCTTGTTTTATACTTAAGTATACCAACATGAGTCTGTACAAGCGCTTACAGTTAAGCTGTTCATACCACTAGTATGAAGCTGGTCAGCCTGAGCTAGTACCTGTGATTCCAGCTGATTCTGTATCCGTTTCTCGAAAAAAAGGAGTCACGACACGCATTTCTTTGAACATATCTTCGTCCATCATAGACTGCATTCTGTAGTGAGCTAAGCAGCACTTTGTTTAATAACGTCGACCGTTGGACAGATAGTAAAAGTTCCAGCTTTCAAAAGATCAGTGTCGACTCGTTGTACATTATTTTCATACACGTTTATATAACTTTTATTACAAAAGAACAATTGGTGCCGAACAATCAACACTTATAAATGCACGAAAAGTTTCTAAGTCCAAAAAGCATTTTATTTCTATTTGCGTAGCTTATGGCGCCGAATCTGGCGCCACCTTCTGTTTGAAAAAAGAATATACACTTGTTAATCTTCAATATCGATAGATTGTTCCCCCGTTTTCGGAAGTTTTATAGCTTTGATAGTTCTCTACATATCAGAATATTTCTTACTCATATCATCGCGTCCTCTTGAAAAAGCTTTCGTATTCCTTATCAAAAAAGTAGATACTTATATATTAAATATCATTTCACAACTTGTTCTTCCTCGAGATCTCATTGAATGTTTAGATACTTTCACTTAACTTTGATCGAACATAATACTATTGGTTATATCACATGAATTCTGCTTAACATTCAGAAAAAAATACAGAACTACATAAAGTTAGGAGAAAGAGCAGTTAATGATTTAAATAGTGAGGTAATGAAGTACAGAACTGCTATAAACATGATTAACTAATCATAACGTATTTATTTCATTGATATTTCGACAGAATCCACTGTCATCATCAGAATGAAAAAAGTATAAATGAGTGTGTCAAATTTGAAACTATACATAGTCAAATAAATAATCTAGGTCTTAATCTTGATACGGATACCCTTCTACTTAGAACACATTTATTCCACAATCTTGGGATGCCTGAGTCCGGTTCAAGTCGGGTCCATGGTTTCAGGAATTTTGAGTCTATCCCAATCTATACGGAGCTCTGATACATATACAATGAATATTCTCAAAACGAGAAGAATTCCCTGTACGTAAAAAATGATTTTTTATCTTTATTTACAAAACACCAAAAAAAATAAAGCGTTCAAATGACACAAAATTAAAAATTGATACTATAAAGAAAATTATTTATTTGATTAAATCAGCAGAAAAAACAACAACAAAAGAACTTAGTTCAGCATTTTGTCAGCTTGACAAATAGATCCAGTTGATTTAAGAAGATAGGATTCTTCTTGTCTCTGGAAGAAGTCTAAACATTTTTTGCTTTTACTAATGATGAGAAAGATATTTGAGTTTATATTGTTGTATTGCATACAAAAATATTTGTCCTAAATTTATTACTACACATTCTCTCTCCTCTCGTTATTTGTCGATTGACTTTGTTTAGTTATAGACGTTGCTGAGTAGATTGCTTGATTTGTTTTTCCTCTACTCCTAGACGATAACATCTTGGTCCGATTTCTAGTCGATGTTATTAAATTTTCGATTGACGAATAGTCATTTAAATCTATCTAAACAGATAAATGCTTGTAAAATACATTGAATACTTTTCTCTCTTTCAAATTACTATCTGTCATGTTCACTGTGATTAGACGAGCTTCTGCTTACCTGCTGGTGTTGTGGTGAATAATTCTCTTCTGTTAAGAAAAGATTATTATCATCATCGCTCATTCTATTTTTTCTATGATGATACTGTTTTAACCATTCATTTTTACGATTAATTTCCATTAAATCTTGCTTATTGGAATTATCTATTGTCGATTTATATCTTTCGTTGGATGATAATTCACGTTGTGAAGGATAAAGTCCAAATGGACGCCATTCAGAAGGAATTCTATAGATTTCTTCTTTCGACTTAATATTTAAATCTGATATCATCGGATGTTTTTCATTACCTTCATCCATCGATGGCATATCCATGGTACTACTACGTGTTCGTTTATGACGCTTAATCGACGGTTTATAATAACTATTTGTACCGTTACAATTCTTTCCATTTAAACGATCAAAACATCCTTGTTTTGTATCATTGAATAATGTACCAGGTGGACATAAAAATATATTATCACGATTTCCAATACATACATGATAAATATTACACCAATCAAAGTCAGCAAACATATTTTGTTGATCTTTATTTGAACAATCAAATCGTGTGGGAAATTGTCCAGTAGCATCAGCACCTTCAAACAACACTGTACCCTGTTCAGCTTTTGGTTTAGCTCTTAAAAAACTTCTTGGTGTTACACATTGAGTACCATGATCACCATTCGCGTCCGATTGATAATCACACTCCTTTTTTTTCTCATTGAAAACAAGACCGGCTAGAAAAAGAAACCAACTATCATGAAATGAGAGGTATGATAGTAGATAATCATTCTTACGACTGCATTCCATTGTCACACCAACACCTTGTTCATTGCACTGTAAATAAAGATCACAATAACGTTGATGTTCGTATAATCCGGGACCTTTGTTAATGCAAAATTCTGATCTCAGATTTGATAATATGTCCGCTGCAGCAAGTTTGTCAATGAAAAACCTATTTAATAAAGCCAAAATCGGAGTTTGTAGGGATTTTATGTCATAAAATTATATAAATACTTTCAAAGAAAATATTTAACGTAAACTTACAATGCCTTTCCTTCGCAATTCACCCCATCATCCGATCGTTCCTTTGGCCAGTCACATTTTCCCATTAATTCTGTTTCTTGTTTCCAAACCTATAATTAGTTTTCGGTTAATTTTTGCGTAAAAAAATGGTAAATGTTGAGACATACTAAACCCTTCGTACAATATTGAATAGTCTAAAATAGATTCAACAAATAGATTTACTATTTACAAATAGAGTGTGTTGATACTTACATCAAATCCACCATGGCAATTATGATAAACATTACAATAATATGAATCAGCAAAATTTCCATTCTGTTTTAACATACAAAATTTTGTTGAACGTCCTCGCGTATCATTCGCACCGGGACGAGCTTCATCCTCGAGACCTTCAGTATCGATAAGTTTCTCTCGTCCATTACAATCAACTTTATCTTCCCAATCACATTCTTTCGTTTGTTCATTAAACATCAAACGATTTGGACAACGTTTTGGATAATCCATAGCCGCTTGACATTGATGAAAAATATTACAATATCGAACATCCGGATAATTACCATCAGGCTAAAAATAAACATATTTTATATTCATTTAGTACTGTTGCTATGTTTTTAAATATATCACTTACTAAGCGTTTACAAAAATTTTCTTTAATTCCTTCCCACATGTAATCTGGTTTAGTACCACAATCAACGTTCACAGCCCAATCACATTCATTTTTTTCAGCAGAATATCGCAAATTATTCTGACATGTAAATACAATATCTTTACCATTTTGACAAATAAAATAACGATTACAAAAATGATCGTGTGGATATTCACCATTTGGCTAAAATAGTACTTAAGTAAAACTAGTTGAATCAAAAAACTATATAATCTATACTTTATCTGTGCAAAATCCTCCAGTATCTTCTCCATTTAGTAAAATATTTCCCCCTTTACAACGTGTTGTTTCTGGCCAATCACAACGTTTTAATGTTTCATTAAATACTAATCGTTCAGGGCAACGTAATTTAACATCAATATCAGCCATACATTGGTGATAAATATTACAATCTATAAAATCAAACAAATTATTAATGGTGCAATAGATGCACAAATATGAATATTATCTTACGGACTGCATCGATATAGAAACCATCCGATTTTTCTATACAAAATAAACTTGTTTCCATTGATAAAGCTACCAATGTGCGACCAGTACATCTAACATTATTTGACCATTCACATTTTTGTTGTTCATTATCCCAGAATAACTAAAGTAGAAGGCGATAATTATTAATTTATCTGATTATAAACTAGTACAATATATAACAGTATTTACCTGATGTGGACATTGACGCATGTTATCTGATCCGGACTCGCATACATGATAGACATTACAAAATTCTTCGTGTGGATATGATCTCAAATAGTGTAAAACAGTATGATTAAACGAGTCTTATTCAAATTATAAAGACATACCCATCCGTTTTTCCTGTACAAGAGGTTGAATTGAATTTATTTTCATTTGGTAACATCTTTTTTGGTGCACCACATTTTACAATCGACTCCCATCCACATTCTTTCTTGTTATCATCCCATTGTAGTTCGCCTGTACATCGTACAATATGATCTGTACCACCTATACAATGATGAAACGCATTACAATATGTATCCGATGCATATCGTCCATCTTGTCGATTTGTACAAAATGTCGTTTTGCCTTGTACAACCGGAAGTGTTTTTCCTGTACAATTGACATTTGTTGCCCAATCACACATTTTTTTCTTTTCATTCCATGCCAGTTGATTTGGACAATGAACAACATAATCGACACCAGCCAAACAATGATGATATATATTACAATAAAATGGATCTTCATAATATCCATCAGCACCCAAAGTGCATTCCAATGTGCCATTGACAAGATTTGGTATGATATTATTTTTAGTTTCTATTTTTGTTTCACTATCAAAATAAGCGGATAGACGTCCTCCACATGACACTTTCTCAGCTAGAAGAATTTAGTCAGATATAGTATGAAATAGTTTGGTTGTAACCAGTTGACTTACCTGTTTCACAATCACGAGCCGTTTCTGAAAACAGATAACCTTCGGGACATAATGATGGCTCTGGTAGACCAGATTGTGTACATGTAAAATACATGTTACATAAACGATTATCAGGAAATTTCACTCCTTTGGATCCAATTGGACATGAAATACCAATTTGTGCCAATACTGATTGAACATTCATTTGTGTAGACGATGGTTGTTGCTGAATGGGAAATCGAGTCGTTTGTTTAAGAAAAGGGTAATCAATGTCATTATATCCCAGAAATGATGTTAGTGGTTGAGGTAAATATTGTTGCGAATTTTTATCGAGAATGGAAGGATATCGAGAAAGAGGTTTTGTTGATAGTATTGATACTCTTACTGGTGTGGTTTTTGTCGATGACTGTGTCGTTGCGATCTTTATTGTCGGTCGATTCCATTGATTATTATTGTTATTGTTGCTCGATATATTTTTATAGAATATGTCAGTTGTTTTCACTTGATGTTGTTTCTCCACTGTTGGTTTAAGTGTCGAAGGTGTCGATGCTGAAAGCAAAAATCATAATAAGGCTTTAGGATTGTAAAAAAATTTTGAATGACAGTTACCTGTCGTTATTTTATACACATTCGTTTTAAACTGCTGCCCGTTCAATTTCATAAAATCGTTTTGATTTTGAAAGAAATTTTGTTGTTGAGGAATATTAGCCCAGCCATGATTAGAAATAGGATGAGGACCAGGTCCTGGTAGTCCGGCTTTAGCTGCTGCTTCAGCTAATAGCACGGGATCTGGTAGAGCTAGGCGATTATTTGTTTGATTCATATCCCATGTTAGATTTTGTTGTAATTGTGACCATAAATTTGGTGGTAGTAAATGAATTAATGATTGCATCGGCTTTTTATCACTTATATTGTAGAATAAATTTCGAGCAATGGCACTCATATTTTTAGAACCAAATATGCTATCAGTAGTGTTTGAAGTCTGAAAAGTGGAATTATGTTTCGTTATGTTTCCCAAACTTTTCTCTTTATCTTGATTCGTAATATGTGTAGTAAAACCTGTGTTTAGTGTTTTTCTTATTGTTGTGTTATGAATTATTGCATCATAACGAGGAGCTGGTTCCACATAGATATTATTATTGCTTTCTGTTGAAATATTCAATTGACCATTGGTAATGGATGATCTAATTGTGGTTGTAGTTTGTAATCCATTCTCGATATGTTTATTATCTGTTTTTTTATCTAAATTTGAATCTGTTTGATTGTGTTGATTTTCTGTTATTGTTGTACTGTTGGTAATGGTGGCGGTGGTCGTTAAATGTTTTGCCACAGAATGTACAATTGGTGTAGTAAAAATTTGTTGATTAAAACTGTTGTTTACTGTTTCATTTAAAGTCGTAACTGTTGTCGTCGTATTTTCCCGTTGTTGAGCATTCTTAATATTTACTGTTCGAAAATAATTATCCACCAACTGTTCATCTGACTCAACTGATTCTTCACCATCCAACTTCGTCGGATATTTATTTTCATTATTAGTTGAATAATCGAATTGACGAAGTAAACCGGGGATGAATATTGAATGTTGTTTAGCGTGAATGGAATCTACATTAAACACATACACATATACTGTGAGATCTCATAAAATAGATTGATATTTTATAGCGATCTGTTCAGTTAAATACTATTTAATACAGTATTAATACGATATTATCATCAAAAAATTTGGAATAAAACAAATTTAAGATATAGTGTAATAGAAATTTGATAGCTGTCTGATATGTTTCTAACAAACTGACATTAACTTATATAGTATAAATAAAAGATGATCAAATTTCTATTGGATACTATTAATTTATAAATGAGCAAAATATTTTTAGTTTTCAATGATCAAAACTCCTATTGATTTGAGGTGTGAACAAGATACAAGATCCTCTTATCTTGAAATAAAAATTCATTGCAAATCTTGAAAAAAAACAAATTCAAAGACTAATACAAACCGGTTGTGACAAAAATATTTAGATAAAAATAGATAATGATGGTGGTTATTACTAATCTTTTAGTCATGACCGATGCACGGTCGATCGATTAATATGTACTAATAAATCAATATAAATATAAATGATCTAATTTTAATGTAAAATATTGTACTCTGTATGATATATGATTATTTTATAGAAAAAATCAACATAGAGTGTACAAAGAGAGAACCAATTTCCATCTTATTCTTTGTTTTCTTTTCGTTTATGGATTTAAAGATGTACTAATAGATTACGAACGAGAAACTGACTATCGTCAAATTGAACGAATACAGAACAACAGAGAATAAAATAAGTGAATTGATAAAATAGTATATAAATTGATGATGTTCATATTCGTTACAAAAGAAATGTAGGCGTTCAATGAAGAGATGTTTGTTGACACGTTGGATCAACTTAAAAGTTTACCTAACTTTTCATTGTTGTATATCCACCTTCTTTTATTTCCTTTCTTTTCAACAACAACTTTTTTTTTTATCTGAAAGAATTAAACAAAAAAAAAAAAAAAAGAAGTAGGCACAATATAGTTAAAATAATGATCTTCTTTTTATAGGTAAAAGTAATTTACATCATCGCATATCTGACATATAAGGGTTTCTCATATTAAAATCAAGATAAATAATGACAAATTAATTCAAGGTTATTGCTGAAAATTTATTTCTCAAAAATAAAAGTTATCTCTCTATCTACTTTTTTATCTTGTGGCTGGAAAAAATGTTAACTTGCTGAAATGAACTAAAAAAGATATTGAAAATAATTGAAAATTTTCGATTCTTCTAAAAAACTTTTTATAAAATCACCAAGTTCTCAGCGCATTCGTCCTGCATACCCTATTGTCGTGTTATTCGAAATTATCCAAGTGGATTAAGAAAATATTTTATTGAATTCCATTCAATCGACAAGTGTCATTTTCCGAGAGGCACAACAACTACATTTCTACCGCTCGATTTATCAATCAGCAAATCCTATTGGAAAAGTTGCTATCAGCTTTTTCAGAAATAAAATTTTTTTCATTTATCCATTTCTACGATTATTGTACCATTCAAATAGCTTCTGTACTTTTTTCCGTACCAGCTCAAAAACTTATAGAGGTTTACACATATCTTTATACTATTTTTATTTCGATGTAAAATTTTAACAAGATAATGTGTGTTTTATTTGATCCTTATAGATTATAAAGTCCTATAATTTGAATCTCTTTTATTTGTTGTTAAATCGCACATTGGTCTTTTAGTTTTGCAAATTATAAAGGATCATAGCATTCTTATCTCTCATTGTTTTAAAAGACAATGAAATTCTTTCGGTCTTTTATTTAATCGGAAATGTGTAAAATGTCGAAGTTGGATTATGTTAAACAACACACGGTTTGCAAACGTTTCTTTTTTAATACACACTATTGATGTAACAACTAAATCTTTGTATTGAATCAATTTTATGATTTGATCTTGATGAGAAAAGATCAAACAATTGTCCTTTTCTGGCTTTAAATTCTTGCTTTTCTTTTTTTTGTAAATAAATAAGAGCGAAGAAGGAACAGAATGTGGTAATACTGTACATAGTATAACTTTAAATATTTAACATTTCATACAAGATGGTAAAAAGAGATTAAGATTCATGATAAAAAGTGAATAGTTATCATTATCAAGGTGATTAATTTAAGACTAAAGTTAAATTAATTTATACTAGATTCATATTAAACATCTAAAAGACTCCTGAAATTAAAACATTATAAATAATAAAAAATAATTTAATAATTATCTTAGCATAAAATCAAACTCTAAATATGCATTACATCTAGTCCTAAGGTCTATACGGACGCCGTTTTATACGAAGATTTGCTTCATTAACTGAAAATGTGTGAAAATGAATATGATTAAATAATATATATTTGTGAATAGACAAGAAAAAATCAGTATATCGTCATTTCAATAAATGTGTGTGCGTACAAATTGAAATTATACTGTCCAATTATAGACCGGAAAAAACACTACAATTTTCATATTTACCTGTAATGACGAAGGTCATCGACACGCTTCTCTGATGTTGTATCATTCATATTTCTTTGCTTGTCTCTGTGGTTTTTTTGCCACGATATTAACAGTCTATTACGCTAATAGTTTTTTTTATGTGGTTTTTTAATTATCAGCATGTTATTCTTTACGTCAAAAGGGCCGTTTATATCTGATATACTTGAATACGGAAAAAGCTCATGTGCCACAAGGCTTGTTGTTTATTTGTAAAAACTAAACAGTTTTAACGACCATTATAAGTAAGATATATACTAAATCTTGTTTTTGTTGGGTAGGAAAGTTAATTAGTTCATAAGGCGACTATTTGATCGATACAGTAAACTTATTATCTTAAAGTTCTTTCCTTTACAGTTATTCACCTTAGCTCATAATAAATATTGTCCAAAAGAAACAAAAACTTGATATCTTCGTTTATAAATTTTAGATCGGTGTCTTCGTATAAAGTCTTTTGATGTGCCTCGGAAGGCATTAAGAGCCTAATAAATTAATTTTCTGATGTAATGTAGCTGGAGCTATGGTCCTGATTCAACTTCAGGGAAAAATCACAAAATAACGACGGTATTGAGTAGTTTCTTCTTTCTTTTTTTACCAACTAATTCGTATTTAGAAGCAGTAAATATCAAATGCCGCTTATTCCAAGAAACTTTGGTCACTATCCGATTCAATTTACGTCACCACCATCCAACGGCTACCACCACGGTTATGCAAACTATGGTTATCAGGGGATGGGCCTATCTCAACGTCAATATAACTATCAGATGACATCTCCTCAATTTGCTCGTCCATATCAAAAGAATTCCGGTTACCAGTATGGTTATGGTCCGTATTATGGTGGCGGAACTCAAAACATGATACAGCCTTATAAAAAGCCGGGAATAGGGGCACAATTTCTTATGCTTCTAAACGGTATAGAACAACAGCTTCAGTACGAATCTTATATGAGAAATTTACGCGCCTATGAGAATAATCAACGAAAATTTTATAGAAGACAACAGCAATATTTCCCACCGACAATTCATCGGCCATCTCATCCACCGATAATACCTCCACCATTATATACAAACAACAACAGGTCCATTGTTGCTGAATATGAACGAGAAATTAGATATGAACCTTTTCCAATTTTTATCACAAAACCTAATTTGCACTCTGGGCATAATATAGGTGGTCCGAAATATATTTTTGTTCCCATTTCATATCCCCCTTTTCAATCTTCAATGGGACCATTAGTAAGTGCTTAAAGTCTTTCAAAACTGTATACTAGAATCGAGTTATGTTCCTTGTTTTCAGAGCATGCCACCATTTCTATTCGATCGAATGGTGCAACCTCTTTGCTCCTTACCTCTTCCACCGCCATTACCTCCCATTTCTAACTTACCATTATCACCAATGGTACAACAAATGGTAATGCAACGCTATTCAAATCCAGTTGCTGTTTATCCGTTTGCATCAATGATGCAAAATCCATACCTTATGAGTAATCAGCAACAAATGGTAATGCCACCTTATCATTCTAATCAATTTAATAGAGGTTTTATTCCCCCTCCACCACAGCCAATGATTGCGCAACAAGCGTGTATGATGAATCCACAACAGTACATGTTGCCCAGGATCCCGATAATACCAATGGCGCCAGCTCAACAGCAACAACAAATTGCATCTACTCCATGTCTCGCTGCTCCACAACAACAACAACAACAGCAGATAATGCTACCTATTAGTCAACCGCAGCAATTTGCATCAAGTTCAATATCACAGCCCATGTTTTTTCAACAACAAATGGCCGCATCAACTGTTCAATCACAACAGTTAGTATCAAATACCTTAGCACAGCCTATATTACCTGCTTTACTACCACAACAACAAGTGATGATGCAACCCCAATCACAAATAGTATCCAATTCTTTAGTGCAGCCCGCGTACTCTCAGCAGCAACCCATTTCATGTTTACTACAACCACCTTATGGTAACTCGAATATGTGTCGAGCATGTGTTCCTATGCCGCCATCTTTGAGTATACCCGTTACAGGCAATTGTTGGATTCAACATTGTTCATGTTGTTATTATGTTCCGAGTGAAATCGGAAATGAAAGACGAAGTGGAAGAGTTACACCCTTACTTCGACAATCGACAGTATCTCCGTTTTTACCGAACACATATCAACATCAGCAACAATCCGAACCACCTGTTCTAGTTCGACCATGGTTGCGCAAAACTCCACCTCTTCCTCCAGGAGCTATACTTCTATCCGATGAATTTGTTGATAATCCAAAAAGTCAGCGCAAATATCGCGTAGGATCTTGGGACCTCCAACAATGGAGTCAAAAAGCGGGAAAAGACAAAGGATCAGCGACCAGTAACGGAAGTATCGATCCTGTTACGGCTTCTGGAAGAAATAATCAAGAGCAAGCGCCATCAATTCAACGAACGATTGTTAAAAATATCATATTTAAACACAAAATACAAGAACCAAGTGAATTAAGCAATGCATCAGCTACAGCGGCAATAAGTAGCGACTCTACTGAATATAAAAATACTGAATTTTTTCCTACACGACATCGATCTACCACTGTCCATTATCAAAATAGTAATATTTCTGCTCCACGCTCAATTCGATATCATAGTCGATCCAAATCAAGAAAGCATGTTAATAAGGACGTGTTTTATACGTCCACTAGCATGAAACCCTCGACACTACATTTTAATTACTATCCACCGGCCGTTCAATCTGTTGTTCATACCAGTAACAAATATAGTAAATCATCGAGCGAAGATTCGAGCCAAATTCAACGAGCATCCAGAAACTATAATCGTCATTTTATTTCGACTAAACATTTAGACAACAATAGTATGACCCTAGATTCCTTAGATAGTGAAGAAGAAAAAAGTGTTCCTCTGATGATTAATGACATGCCCAAGAAGAAGATAATTGTCATTCGAGAATATATAAACGGTTCTCCGTCGACAATTAGTACTGCTTCATCTAATTCTTTGTTTAGTATAGTTGATACAAACTTAGCAGAGAATGGACGACTAAGCACGACATCTGCTGTATCAGAAGAAGCTGAACATAACTCAGATTCATTCTAATTCAAGAAATTAAAAGAGATATTTATGTAAATATAGAAGGTGGAAAGTATTTAGAATAAGATGTGTAGATTAATAGTAAATTGGGAAAGACAGAATAACAAAAAGTTGAAATCTTCACTGATGTATTAGCCATTTCAAAATAGATTTTTGAATTTTATTCTTCTAAACAACGATGTATGAGATTCTGCATGGTTGATAACCCCTATTTACAATAGCTGTCATAATTATCACATGTGAAAGAATCGAAAATTTAGTCATGCATCAGAGACCGGCAATCGACTTTCGCAAAGACCTGTGAGGTACACCATCTTTGGGTGGTAATCTGAGCTTTTTCTTCCGATATATTTACATACCTCGACCTCGATTATTAAAGGAAGAAAATCGCATGTCTGAAGCTCATTTCTATTAAAAATTATACAAAATTTCGTAGGATCCATTCGATTTTGCAATGGATAGTAGTACGATATTAACATAATCGCTTCTCACAGTTTGATAAGGAGATTTGCGAGGCAAAAATCAATTCCTGTCTACGTTATATTACTTCGTTTAAAACATAATACCATTTTATCCACGTCTTTGTCTATTGTAATTAGCACAATGTTCTCGACGAATGTTGAAGTATAAATGTATTTCGATATATATTCAGCGAAACGTACAGCAAATATTTAAAATTTTGTACATTTTGTGAGGTTTGAAAGCAAACCACTCACAGGATCGTGTAAGTTGTTGATAAAAAATGCAAACTTTTTTCAACCTAGAAGAGTTCTGTTTCGTAGAAAGAAAAATAAAATAAAATTTAAAAAATAAATAGACAATAAAAATAAAATCGCTTCAAAAAATATAAATTATTTTATGTTAACTTTTAACAAGAGAAGAGACGAAAAAAATTAAATTTTTCCGATCACAATGTTGTTTACTGCAGTTGTCTTCGCGTTTTCCCGTTTTTAGCATATATAATCGACGGTTGGCACACTGCTGGCTGCTCTAGGCTGAATCGGAACGTTTAATGATGGTGTTGAACCACCAAAGGCAGCAGCTGAACCTAAATTTCTACCAGTTCGACCAAATAATGTAAAGTCACTATGCTTGGCGACTTCCTTAACTGGAGGAAAATTTTTTTCCACTGGAATATTAACATTGGATGTGTGACGAAGTAACATTGAGTAACTGTTAAAAAAGAGAGAGAAAAGACGAACAAGGAACAAGTACTTTCTGGTGAAAAAAAAAAAAAGTTTCTACTTACTATGGTAAATGAGCTTCATACATTTTATCATTTGAAACAGGTAATGGAGAAAAATGTTCGACTAGAGTGTTCAAGTGTAGAAAAAATTATTAAAGAAACTAGAAAACATGACAATTTAAGAAAAACGACTGATAGTAATCATATATCGTTTGTGTCTGATCAACTTTTAATAAAGAAATTCTCACCAGGTTTTAGTGTTCCACTTCTATCCGTGTAAGCATCACGATGATGTTGCGAAAGCTTGAACAAAAAAATAAAAATATATCATTTCAAGTAAATGAATTTGTATTGAACCATGACAATGAATCGATCTGTCAAACTTACGTGATGAAACTTTCGAATTTCATTAGTGCGGTCATAGTTCTGATTATTTAAGGTGTATTTTGGAATGTAGAGATAACGATCTCTTGATCGACGTCGATCACTTATAACTAATTCAGGTTGATGTGTATATGGTGTAGGAAAATATCCACCTAAAATACATAAACTTATTTGTTCTTTTTGTATCAAATTATCTACTTCCACATACCTCTTGCATATAAACTTTTTGATGAATTGAGTGCTTCACTCCTACAACGATAGATAAACGAGTGGCAAATAAAAGTAGCTCAACTTTTATGAAAACATGCTCCCTTTATTTATAACATTTGTGAATTTAGGATATCAAATACACCCTCTAGTGTTTTCTTGAAGAAAACAGCTCACTACTATAGCCACACGAAAATATACTCATATTGTGCTTTCTATACGTATTTTTACCTCCAAAAAGAAAAACTATAACGTTGAAATACTTCAAAATAACAGCAGATGAATTCATTACCGGTAATCCTGAAAATATTTTGCCGTCGAATTACCAAATGTTTCGCCATATTGCAAATTTACCTACAATGCGAACACGAACAACAGAAGATAAAAATTTATAAAAAAATTTTTACTCACAGTTGGAACATGACCTCGATATCTGAAGAAAAAAAAGAGTTACTCTATCGACATATAGAGAAAAATACTATTGCGCTCACCCTGGCATCAACGATGGAGGATAATAAGTTGAATTGTATGTCGTTACTAAAGTTCCAGCAGCACGCGACATTCTTTCAGTTGTGATCGAATATAAACTGTTATCTGAGAAAAAACACTAAGATCTAGACAAATCAATTAAGATTCTAAGCAAGGATTTCTTGATGACTTTAAAAGATATAAAACTGTTATGCCACTCAAAAACTTGCATAAATAACTCTTATATGACCTCAGAGTCTACAGAGTGTCCCAAAAAAAAACTTATCCCTCTGTATTTATTGGCTTTCTTGTGTACAGATATAATTGACCTTTTCACCATCACCTTAGTCGAGTAGAGCAAAGATTTCTGGACAAAATAAGACGCCTCCGAGCTCTCGAAGAACCTTTCTCATGAAAAAGCATTCAGTTTACGGAAGGTCCTAAGAGCGTATCTTTCTTGTTTTCCCGTTGATTTTGCTGATTTTGGTGGTATGAGACATTTCGTAAATTGACTGCTGTTTTATGAGGAAAGCTCTTAGAGAGCTCGGAGACGTCTCATTTTGTTCAGAAATCTTTGCTCTATTCGACCAAACTAGTGGTAAAAATATCAATTATATTAGTACACAAGAAAGCCAATAAATACAGAGGGGTAAGTTTTTTGGGTCACCATGTATTCTAGTAAACAAAACAAATAGATAAAAAAGTTGAAGAATTAAAGTAAATTTCTCACCCGTATTCGTAAAAATGCAAAAGTCTAAGTTAGTATAGAAATCGAAAACAAAGTCATTTACTTTTTCAACCTTTACAGCATGCCGAGCTTACTAATTAATCAACTTAGTTGTAATGGGATTTCAGAGACCTTTTATCTACTTTAAACGTTATTCACAGATTGTATTGCCGACTTATGTATTTATTATTACAGGTTATAATTCCTCAAATCTACAATTGCAGCCACTTTGAAAGTATGCAAGAAGAGTTGTGAAGTGATGCCTCCACATCGTCCGTTTGATGCAGAACGACACGAGTTGACTTGTTATGATTGGTCTCAGCTGCGCAAGTAATCATCGTCGAACAGTAAAACAAAATAAAAATTTATTCTGTTCTATTAATTCATACGACACGATGGAAGCGTGGAACTGTGTCAAACATTAATAAAAGTTCTGCAACAGTACTTCTGTGCCTTCGTGTATTCCTTTGCGGCTATCTATATTTAAGAGAGAAACAAGCAGTATGTCTTGTTTCTTCCACTTTTTCTTTGAAACATTCACTTGCAATTATAAAAGAACTCTACATTTTGACTTAAGTCAGACTTAAGTTTTTTTGTGATACGACCCCCTGATGTCGAAATAAATAGATTACAACTGTATTCTGGTACAGAAGTGTGCGAGTCCAGATTCGACTTTTTTTAGGAACCATATATGGAGATTTTGTGTTTCGAGTTCGATTGAATCACATTTTGAGCATAAATGAACATGAACTGATTCTTTTCTTTGCCTCGATGTCCAGTTTTTTGAATTCATATATGAGATATACTTGCATGTGTGCACCCAATTCTCTATACGGATGATTGATTATTCCATATCAATATTTTGATGTGTCGTGAAGGAGTAATTTTTATGAAAAATATTGTCCGTTAATGTGACGGAAGTATAAAATAGAGGTACATCAGTCGAAAAAAAACTGAAAAGCTGTGGACGATCATATAAAAAGAGAGATTAGTTAATGATAAATTGTTTCGTGAAGTATGAGCCTAATGAATAAGTAATATGTCCTGTATTCGAATCTCAGTTCTATATCATTACAAGAGAATGCATGTCAATGGAATATGGATGAGTTCACTAGAAATCATTGTCTTCTTTTGTTTTATTATAACTCCACTACTGAAAGATCGTTGATCTCATAGAAAGTCTTTTATTTTAAATGTTTATGATAAAATTAAATGCAATTGGAATCATTTGTTTACTATGTCATTTTATAAACAGCTTTTGTTTGACCCAGCAAAGTTATTATATATAATGATTGTTTTACTCTTGATGGAAGTAGTCATTAATATTTTGATCATTAAAACGACAAAATGTGTGTTTTGTTTGTTAATAAAAGTAGTTTATTAAAGTTATGTATTTGTTTAGATACAACTGGTACCTATGATTATTTTAAACTAGGTGGAGATACAGGATCACTAGTGTTAGTTATCAGTTTGTTTCTATGTATTATGAAGGCTTTTTTAGCTTATTGTTGTTTCACTTTACGTTTTCAGATATCCAGCTGGTTTTGTTTATTTTTACTTGTTATTCTATTACATAACCAATTTTGACAAAAATGTACGTTTGGCACAATGCGTATTTGCTGTCATCTACATGTTTATGATGATAATGATATTTATGATTTACTAAAGAAATATAAAAGTCAATTGTATGTGTTCAACAAAATCTGAAATTTTAAAATACGATTTTTTGGTTCCTCCATATGCGTACTATGGATGTGTTTAACATCTTATCGTATTCATTCAATATTTGTGTTGAGATTATTCAATGATCCAATTGCAATGACTTTATTTTACGTGTCAGTTGTTTTCTTTCAAAAAAGGCAATGCCTAATTGGGTGTCTCTTCTACAGGTATCAGATTCGTCATTGATTCATAAGTGCCATATTCTTGTATTTCTTCTGGTGTGGTTGTCTCAATTAAAATGAATACTTTGCTAATGGCCCTGGTCTTTTTGTTATTCTTCTGTTGTCTGTTGGATTACAAAATACAATCAAATATATTGCATGCTGTGCCTTATTACAAGTTAGGTTTTTCTTTCTTGCTGTTTTTTTGTTACTAGTCCTCATTTATTCTCTATATCTGGAAAGTTCGATTGGTATTATTTTGTTTGTTATAATCAATGGCTTGTCATATTTTTTGTCACTGATTATTAATTTATTCTCTGAATTTCAGATACTTAAAGAATGTGAATAACTTTTAAATGATTACAAACAACATACGTTATCAAATGATTGTATCCTTTCTTCTTATGAAATACGTTATTGTGAGTATGAGTTGAAGATTTTTCAGTAACTTGTATGTATTTTGTAGTTGAAAAAAAGCAATTTTATTTTGAACTTCTTTTTCTTAACAAACGGTATGATCAGACATTACAACGGTTCTATTTTATTCAAATTTTATTGATATTTGTTTTTGTCGTTTGTTTCCCATGTTTCGATGCTTAATTACATCCTCTAGAGCTGGATATATGAAAAATACAAACTATTCCACATTAGAAAAACAAATCCTCAAAGAAACGCAAAATATTTTTCTCTTTTGGAAAAATGAAATAGACTTCCAATATATAAGACACAAAGAACTTGTTCACATATTCCTAGGATTTTTCCATTCAACGATGTGAACTTTTTGTTTGCTAAAGGATAAACAAACCACATTATCGATGTTATAAAAATTCGAAAGAGAAGACTTTGAGCTATCACACTATGCACTAAACCGTTATTTTTGACACTGAAGAGAAGAGATCACAAGAAGTTTATTTTTATTTTTTCTATTTAGACTTCTAGTTTTGGGCGTAAATGAGCGGTGTTGGAACACTTATCCATCAACAAGTTTAAGTAGTTTTTGTTCACATTTATGTCATTTTTATTTAATAGCGAAATTAATATTAACATTCAAAATAGATCAGAATGATGTTAATAACAGAAAGCTTAAAATAACCTAGTTGTCTTTTTGGTCAGATACTGTTTTTTGTTATATTTATTGACATTTTTACAAATATTAGACGTAGTCATCTATGTAATTTTAATTTTTAAGTTAGAAAAGGAAGTTAGATTTAAGTAAACTCAATTTTCTGTATTATCTGGTGAGAAAACGAGCGATATAAAATTAGTAACAGTACGTTCAATCTTCGAATAAAACGTTTTATTAATTGGATAATTTTAGATATTAAAGTTACTCTGTTTGATTTATTTTTTTTTCCAATTTTAATGTCCATATCCTGTGATTTATTTTCTTAAAGAATGAACAGTACGACGCTTGAATTAAGTATTCGTCAAGTAATTACTCAAAATGACACTTCATTAAATTTGTCCAATCGTTTGTTAAGAGCAGTTCCATCTTTGCTGAGTGATTGTGTATCATTACGTAATTTGTATTTGAACAATAATGATTTAATTGTACCACCCAATGAAATTTCATCATTAATAAATCTTGAAACATTATCATTAGAATCAAATTCTCTTACATTATTACCAAATTGTTTATGGAATTTGACGTCACTTATTCGATTAAATCTCAGTCAAAATCCTTTAGGATGTATATCAAATAAATTATCAAATTTAATTAATTTACGTGAATTATGGCTATCAAATTGTTCGCTATACGATTTACCATGTGAAATTGGAAAATTAATAAAATTACAAAAACTTTGTTTGAAATGTAATCATATACGTCAATTACCCGATCAAATTGGTCAACTAAGACTATTAAAATGGTTAAGTATTGAAGATAATGAATTGAAAGATCTACCAGATAGTTTTCAAGATTTATTGTCATTGTCGTATTTGAATATGAATGGAAATCGTTTGATAAACATTCCATTAATTATTGGAAAATTAAAATCATTAGATGTATTGTGTTTACAGCGAAACGCTATTGCTGAAGTAAATGATGAAACATTATTAACATTATCTAGTACAACAAAAGTTGATCTTCGTGAAAATCCATTAATTCAAAAGCCTTGCCATTGGAAGGTATTGAAGAGAGATTATTCTTACGTTTAGTAGTATTCACTTTTGTTGATATATTGTAGGGTTTAGAATTTATACTAATCGGTTCATGTACCAATCATTTGATGGAAAAAGATAACGATAATGATAATGTGTTAGACAATTCTAGTCAAAACGATGAGGATAACTTTGAAGTTTGTCAATCAGATGAATGATCTCTTTATCTTTGAGAATCTGTGATTATGTATTTGCAAATGCAGTTGTTTTCAACGGTTACAGCAGAATATATGACAAACTGACTATTTTCTATTTATCTCGCATCACTTGTACTTGATCTTTTTTGTCGTTCAATTCACTATCATGTCTTGAGTGGTTTAAATCTAAGAGTGGAAAATTATACAAATAATATTGAGGCACTTCAAAATGTCCAACTTCAAAACGTATCTTTCAATGAATTGAAGTTTTTTTCACATACAGATAAATGCAATAAGCTTTATTAGAGTGATATTGTCAAGTTTTTTAGTTCGTCTTGTATATAGACGTGAATTAGATCAAGTTTTATGACAGAAAGGATGACTGAACTTTTTGATTTTGCATATAACAAATATGTTATTTCTTTTCAACATGAAAACAAAACACTAACAACAAACAGGCCTTGTTTTGGAAGAATTAATACAGTTTTATGTATTGATACGAGGATGTTGTCCAAAAATGATAACTCTTAGTACAACTAGTGAAAGAATACCTGACCAGACATTGGAATAGAAGCTGCAAAACCATTCTTATAGTAGGAGAATTGCCTATTTTTGGAGATTCTCAGTATGATTCGTGTAACCGTCTACTTTTACATTTAAATTACTCAAGACATTGTAAAAAATGAATGGTAAGTTTAACAAAAAACAATCGGTTCAAAGAACGCAAGATATACAGAATGTATTGAGATTGTCATTCATTCTGTTGTACCCATTATTTTTTATTGTTTTTGCACTAGTCCATTTTCGACACTACTTTTTTTAGAAATAATTTTCATAAAATAAAAAATCCTTTTGATAAATTTTTTCCAACATCTACTTTACCTTCAGGATAAACTTACGTAAGATCCGTTATGTAGACAGATTTTCTGTTAGATTGTATAAGAAGTACTCAGTGTCGAAATGACATTCGTAGTATTTCCTTTACAACCTTTTTTACCTTAGAACTTTGCAACTATAAGGTAAAAATAGCTGTATTTCTAAAAGATGTGCTTAAAAAGCGTATTGAAGTTGTTTTTTTTTACAAAAGTGAATAGCTACAAAAAAAGAACTATTGGGAAGCTTTAATATTATCAACTATCTCACTAAAAAAACGTTTTTTCAGGTTTCATTCCTTTGTTTGTTGAGATATTGAAAAATTTTAACTAACCATTCATAAACAACTCTGTCTTATACCTAGAATTAGAATTTTTTTTCACAGTCCAACTGTCTACATGAGATTCTTTTATCCGTCTGCCCAAAATCATCATTTTCAAACAGCAGTTCCTCACCATTGTATAAAATCATCATAACTGATTCAAAATCGAAGATTTTCAACTCCAGCTTTATTATTCATGCGGAACGCATTACTGTGTTTATTTTTAAATAGAAACAACGTGTCAGTTATATGTAGTTCCGAGAAGTCCAATAACTTCTTTTATTTCAATAGACCAAGTGAAAAAATTAAATTTTCTTTGTTTTATGAAGAATTTTAATAAAGTTATTGTTTGTACTATGAAATTAGGCGTTAAGAAACTCCAATATAAACGAGGAGATAGAGTATACTCGACAGTGTCAGAAAATTCACCTTGAAATAGTTTGATCCAGGATATTCGGTAGTTTTCTTATGTAATATATATTGTAATTAGAATGTAAATGGAAGTTACCCTATTGTATTTTTTAATTCTGTCGTTACGGCCAATTTCAAGGAAAAGGCATATTATTAATTCTTTAAAATAATTATAAAAACACAGGTGTTCAACACGGAAGTAATCCTTCGTTTATATAAAAATGTTTTCTAAACGGGGTAATTCAATGAACCGTGACGTTTTGATACTTATAATATTCGATTTCTAAATCAAAATTATATTTCATGGACAAATATTCTATTCAAACTTTCTGCTTAATGGTGTGCAAAAAACCCTACGTTCACAGTTTTTAAAAAAATTTTATGACCTTGACATAGTGGAGTTGGAGTGTACGTTCATGTATTGCTGTTAAACGTGAAATTATGTCTACATTAATAATTTACTATTTAAGAAATATTTCTGTTAACATAAACATATAAAAAATAGTAACTTTTCCTTATTTGAGTATTTGAGAAAAATAGAAGAAAAAAAAAGAAATTATTTCGTCATTTTCACCTCTATACTTTTTCTCTCATTATTTTAGTGGCTTCTTTAGAAAAAAACACGATAAATAAAACAAAAATCCAGTTCTTTTTTACCCGTCTCTCACACGAGTTTGAGCTATTGACTAGCAGGTTAGAAAAGTGAAAAAATTTCCCACATGAAAAAATGAATATATACCTCGGATTTTGAATGTTTTGTGAACGGAATATAAGTTTTGCATGTGATTTTTTCTGAACATTTTACTGGGTATGTAGCGCAGAATTTCTCTTTTTATGATCTCAACTCTGTAGGTGATAACATTGTGGAATTAAATGTGGATTATATGAAGTTTTCAGTTATTTTTCAAAACTGTGCCAAGTACTGTTACTGACTTATTTTTCTATAATATTGTGCATAATCTAATACGTTTTATAGTAATTATTAACATAATAAATTCTTATACTTATGACACTCTAGATTTCTTACAAACGAGACAGGCTGGATCTGTCCAGATGTTGTTGATAACATCAGAACAGAAACAAATAAGTTAGATAGAATATTAGATAAACGAGCACAGTTAACTATTATCTTGACAAAAACTTAGATAGATCTTATCCGCTTAACAATAAGTTTTATTACTTTGAAACAAAAATAATCATAAAAATTTGGTTCTAACACTATTATTGCTCGAAAATGTTCATCTTGTGTGAATAAGAAAAAATATCTGAAAAGTTTCCCTTTACGTAACAAAGTTTTCAAGATCTTTTTGTCTACTAGGTATTTACAGAAAAAATCCTTTTGAATGCATCATCTTCTACTTATTAATTAATATAGTAATCGATTAACGTGTTCTGTAGAGGAAATCTTTTCGTTTTAGTTTAAAGTGGATATAACGGATAGATTTTTTTTGTTTTCAATGAAAAAAAGCGAGAGCGAAAGCAATGCCCTATGTATCTATCGTATAGGACAAATATGTTTTTTGTTCTGTATTACCAGCATACTCATATTGAATGTCTGTATATTTCTCTTTTTTTGTCATATTTATGTACAGATCATTATGTTAACAGCTTTTTTTTTTTGAAAGTACATCTAATAATTCGATATAAATTGTACCTAGGGCAAATTTGTTCTATAGTAGACATAAAAAATAATCTACAGTAGTGTGGCTGATATAAATTGTCATCATACTGTCAGACACTTAATCTTAATGTATACGTCACTTGCCTGATAGAATTACCATCCATATGTGGTTATAGACAGAGACAATTGTTTAATATATATGTACACATAAATATTAAGAATAAGAAAGAATGAAGAAAATTATATACATCACTTGTAGAATTTGAGAATATTTTTAGTAATACAGACGGCATTTCATTTTCATAAAATTTAAAAAATAGGTCACCAGTAGTAACGACCGTTAGTTAAAATATTGTTTTTTGTTAATTTTTTTCAGATAATTATTTATCGTTACTGTTTTGGCCAGACAAAATTAAACATTTATTTACATATTCTTATTTTTATATTTTAATTATTTTTTTATTTATTCTTGAAAATAAGAGGTATAATATGACAAAATTTGCTTTTATCGAGTGCCATTTCTCTCTTAGATTAACTCAATTATTTCGAGATAAACTATTTAGAGATATTTCTGTTGAAAAGTAAATAGTTAATTATCGTTTTTAGATTTTATCATGAGTGACGATGGTAATGATTCAAAAATGGAGGATAAGTCCACAACCGGAAAAGTATATTGATCTCGTTATTTTATTATTTTCTACTATATATTTGAATTTAGATTGAAGCAATGTCGAAAGAAGAACTATTAAAGCTTATTAAACTTCAATTATTACAAAATAAAAAAAATCAGACAAAAACGAATGGTATTTACAAAATGATAACATGACTTTCAGTATTTCACACTTAGCACTTTCTTTTTTTCAGAATTAACCACTGCTAATACCGTCCTGTGTCAAAAACAAGAGGTGCTACTAAACGAACTTGATAATGAACGTGTAAAATATACAAAATTAGTAGAAGAAGTTGATCAGTTGAAGAAAATAGAAATAACAACTCAAAGTGAACTTACGGTAAACATTAGTGTTTTCTGGTGACACTTTTTTCTTCTACATTCTTTACTCCATTTTTATATTTAAGATTCTACGAGAACAATTGGATCTCCTTCAATCACAGAACGAGACATTAACATCGACTTGTAAAACGTTTCAAGAGAAAAACTCTGTACGTAGCATTTATTTTGTTTTTGAACATGAAGTAGTTAAGTCATGAGATTCATCAGTCTTATGACAATGTGTTATCGTTTATTCACCAGTCTTTTTTTTGTTGTTATAGAATCTTCAAAATGAAGTTCTGTCTGTTCGTTCATCTCCAACCATTGAACAACAGGAACTCTCGACGAAACTAATTGATTCTCAGCGTGATATCGAAAATTTGAATAATCTAAAACTTCAACTTGAACAAACAATTGAACAATTGAATATAAAATTGAAAAAAGCTGATCAATTATTTCAAAAATATATTTTATCCACAGTTGATTTGTTAGATATATTTCATGATAATAGTGGAAATAAAATGGAACTGATTCGTGAACCAAATAATGTTGACATATTCAATCTTTATTCTTCTGAACTAAAACGTATCAGACAAACCGATATATTATATACGGATTTAAAACAATCGTATGAACAGTTATATATGGAACGTCAACAATTACAACAACAATATGATGATTTGAAACCAATGAGTTTAGAACAACGAATTGAAGATTTAGAATTTTTTAATGAAGAATTAAAATCTGAGTTAATGACAATAAAAGATGATTATCGAATGAAAATGAATGCTTATGGTCAACGTGAACAAGAATATCGGCGACAAATTGAAGATTTTGAAGAACAATTTAATTCATTACAGCAAGAACAATTACAACAACGAGAACAGCAAATGATAGCGTCGCCATCCGAAGAAAGCCGAAGGTGTTTTATACTAATTTTCTTCTATTTGTTAGGAGCTGAATGCCGCAGTCTCGTTTGAAAGCACACAGAATCATTTACTTTTTTCATCTTAGTAATCTTTTATTCGTCTGTAACCGAACATTTTCATTCTAGTTTTTCTACAAGTAGCGATGTTTTACGATTAGAATCAACCTCATCTTCAACAATTAATCATAGTGATGTCAGTGACATTGTACATGATACTCTACAATTTATTGTAAATTTCGTTGATTTATCAGAGAAAAATAACAGTACTACTAATAATAATAACAATAACAATAATACTAGTTTACAATCTTCGACATTGTCTTCGTCCACATCCTCATTACTGTTATCGTGTGATATTTCGACACTTTTGCATAGTATTGGTATAACAAATTTTACCGAAGAATTATATTTATCCAACTATGCAGATGTATTACGTTTATGTACATTGTTAATTGAACGTTGTCGTGTACTGCAATATGCTCTATTAAGAAGAAGTCATTCGTCAGATATGTTTTCTGCCTCTTTAGAATCTCTTTCGATTGATGATCAATTAAAATCATCATCTTTGTCACTATTTGAAGATTCATCTTCATCATTGATTGACTGTTCTTCCACTACTAAATCCGGTTATCAAGAATACTGTGCTATTATTCATCGTCATCATAATAAATCGTTAGATTCAATATTTGATCTACTATTAGACTGGACAACATCTTCAACTATTGATACTCGTTCGTTAAACGAAAATTGGAAAATTACTATATCAAGACCGAACTCTCAAAACGAAGTATGTAAATGAGATTTTTAATGTTTACTTTGTATACTAAATGTTGACTTTTTTAGAAATCTCAAATTCGTTTCGAGTTATCAACGGATGCTATCACTCTCTCATTAATGCCAGAACAGTACTATAATGGACTCGATGCATTAACTTCTGAAACAAAAAAATTAATAGTTGAAAATGAACAACAAAAGGATGAAATAAAATTGCTAGAAAAACGTTTATCTCACAATGAATCATATGAACATTTGAAAACTCGTCAAACTCTCTTGGAAGAACAATTAGATAAACAGTGTGCACAAACAATTGAATTAGAAAATATTTTAAAAGATGAATTCGGCAATAAATCAAAATATGAACAAATTCAACTATCGTATGATGAATTAGAAACTAAATATTTGATTGCTGAACAATTAAATGAACAATTAAAAACATTAAAAGAGAAATATGACGATTTAGTTTCGCATTTGACAGAGAAAGATGAACAGTTGGCTAAAAATCGATGTTATTTAATTGAACGTGATGAACAGATCAAGTTGTTGACCATCGAACTCCAACAAGAACGTTCGAACACAGTTGAATTGAAACAATCGGCAAATGAATTGAATACGTTAAAGAGTGAGTATAAAGAAATAAAACAGTTAAAAGCCAATGTTGAACACGAATTAGAACAATTAAAAGATGATCTTAATGATAAAGACAAGAATAAGGCAGAAGAGATTAAACAACAACAATTTTCAACAGATTTATTAGAAAAGAAAAAGTTGGAGTGCAATCAGTTGATTGAAAAAGTAAATCACTACGTAACAGATTTAGAAAATGTGAACAAATCGCTATTTGAGAAAACAAAATTAGCCAATGAGCTAGATGAACGTTTACAAACGATGAATATTAATTATGAAAATTATAAAATGAAGTATGAACAAACAATTCATGAACAGCAAAAGTTATTAGACGATTTAAATATATCTCAAAATGGAAAACAGTTACTAATTGAGAAAATACATAATTATGAAATGAAACAAAATAATATGCAAGATAAACAAACAGATACGAATGAATTTAAACAGGTAACGTGTGCTTTTAGATCACGTGCGAAAAACAAGATCGTCATACATATGAAATGAGAAGAAATAAGCCTACAAAAACCGGATCTCGAAAGCGCCATCATAAACTGTTAAGCGAACATATGTTGATACGGTCGAATTGTAGAGCATATCGAGTTACTTATGCAAACAAGTTTTCGAAGTCGACCCCAACGGATCAGTTTCCTTACAGTCAGAAAGCTTTCATAAAAATTAAGACTGAAAAGTTCAGTTTTTCCATTAAACCAGGACGTGAATAACTCTTTTTTATAACTCTATAAAAATGATCCGTTAGACCTAAAAACGTTTTTTTTGCCTGAGCAATTATGTGCTTTACAATTTTTTAGTAACAGTATATGCTTGGTTGAAAGCCCATGACGGTTTTTCAGAGATTTGCTTTGATGAATACCAGATTCGTGATCAACATAAAAGATTGTCTATAATAAAGTATATTTGTAAGAGTACCACTAGCTGAGGTTTGCTTTGTGAGACTTCTATAGTGCGTTTGTGTTTTGTTTAGCAAGAAGTTCAATTACAACAAGCATACGACGAAATAAAACAAAAACTACAAATAACCGACGAGGAATATTTACAAATTGTAAAACAAGCAAAAAATGAAATAGAACAGTTACTACTGAAGAATAATGAAATAAATGAGAAACTATCAAAATTAGAAGAAAATCGTTTGGTAATGGAAACAGAATATCGTCAGAGTATTAAACAAATTACAAATGAAAATATTGTTCTACAAGAAACAGTAGAAAATTTAACAAAAAAATTGAATCATGAAGTGACTACGCCACCGCCACCATCAGAAACTTCAACTGGAGAAAATATTCAAGAATTAAAAGAAAAATATCATAAAATGAAATTATTATTGACACGACTGAAAAAAGAATTACAAGAAAAAAATCAACAACCTAAACAAAGTTTAATTGATTTAGAACTAGCTGATTATGAAAAAACGATTAAATATTTGAAAGAAGAAATACAAAAGAAGGATAAAGAAATTAGTGATTTTCATGAAGAATTGAATGTTCGTGATGATAAATATAATGGTATTAAAAGTGAACGTAAGTATAGCGTTCAATTAAAATAATTTTAACAATCGTATGCAAACAACAATCATTGATTTTTATTCAATCACAAAAACTAAAGCTTTCGATTAGAACAACAAACACGTATAATTATCAATTGACAACATATTTAACAAAGACATTAAGGATACCCCCCCCCCTTTTTCTTCACCTTGTTGCCAAATACGGAGCACGCGTCCGATTCAGCTCAAAGTTATACCAGAGATAGAACATCGAAAAAGAAAATCGATGTATTTTTGTCCAGAATTTTCTGAGATGTTCTTATATGAGTTTTCTGGAAAACTCTGGTTTTCATCCAGTCACATTACGACTCCTCGAAAAAATGGTCCGATCGAGCTCAAATTTTTATCACAGATACTTCAGACCCTATCTCAGGTTCTAATTTTTTTTTCCCTAAAAATATGCTTTCCTTCTCGAGATATACGAAAAATGCTGAAAATCACGCAAAAAAAAGTCAGATTTTTTCAGTTTTTTTTACTGACTTTCAGCATTTTTCGTCTCGAGAAGAAAAGCATATTTTTAGGGAAAAAAATTTAGAATCTGAGATAGGATCTGAAGTATCTGTGATAAAAATTTGAGCTCGAGACTTCATTTTTTCGAGGAGTCGTAATGTGACTGGATGGAAACCGGAGTTTTCCAGAAAACTCATATAAGAACATCTCAGAAAATTCTGGACAAAAATACATCGATTTTCTTTTTCGATGTTCTATCTCTGGTATAACTTTGAGCTGAATCGGACGTGGGCTCCGCATTTGACAACAAGGTGAAAAAAGAGGGGGGGGTACCCTTAAACGGGGCGTGTTCACAAACAAGAACGTATATAAAAGATTCATTCGAATTTGCCCACAATATGCAACAACAGAAACGAAAGAGAAAGGAATTTATGCTCAGTTTGGAGATGGGAATTATTATTCATCAATATTTTATCCTATAGAGCGGAGCCATCAGTCTACCTGTTCAAATTATCATAAAAAAGAAGCAACAAGATAAGAATTACACCGATTTGAATGAAAAAGATTTGAAGCATCCATTTGAATTAGCCGTGAAAGATGTTCGATTCAGATTCTATGACACCATTTATCAACAAAAAACGATGGTGTTTCAATCGGAAGTCCATTGTCTCCTATTTTAGTTGATATATACATACAACATTTTGAAAATCAAATTGATAATTACAAACTCAAAGACAAGATTTTTGATGATGAAAGGTACATGGATGGCAATCAATTTGATTTTGAAGACATTGGATTGATTGAACAAATTACATCCAAAGATGAGATTTACGTATGAAAACGAATATAATTTTAAATTGCCATTCTTGGATGTAAAAATTTAAAGATAATGAACCAACTATAATACAAATGTGTTGAAAAAACCCACTAATACGGGTAGATATTTACATTGGATTAGTTTTCAAGCACAATGATTGTTGTTTGAATACGATTGTTATTATCTTTAATCAATTATATTACATCTGATAATATTGGTATTGAAATGATTTATTACTGTTTTCTTGTTTTTGCTAATTTAGTTTATAATCTTGAACAACAGAAACAACAAACAGAAGACCGAGCAAATAAATTTAAAACACTATTGGATCAAGCTAAAAAAGAATTACAAAATGCAAAAAATGTGGAATTGGAACGAACAGATACTGATGAAAATATTCGAACATTATTGCATACAAATCAACTTGAATTAGAAAATAATAAAATGTATATTAGTGAGTTATTACAAGAAAAACAACAATTGTTAGGTGCGTGAGTCTTTCTTATTAGTATGCTAGTGTATAATCAGTTTTTTTAACTTTTTCTTATTAGATAGAATAAATAATAATACGGACAATAGTCACCGTACAATTAGTACATTAGAACAAAATTTGAAAATAATCACACACGATTTAGATATTGTCAAACAAGATTATGAAACATTACAAGATGAATTCAATAGTTATAAAGTAAGAATTTATTATATCATCTATTGTATTGTGTTAAAATATAGCATCGTGCTATGATCTTAGTTAGAGAAGCCGTTCTTTCGAATGTTTTCAATGAGTGTCTTTCCAATAAGATAAAAACACGACTAGTAAGCTAAAACCTGAGCTCACTAAACTAAAAAGTCAGGGACTTGAGAATTGTTAGTATCCTGAAGTCAATGGTCATGCTAATTTTCTTTGGATTTTTGAATTTCGTAATGCGAGTTTGGTAAACCAAGGATTTTGAATTTTAAATTTTTGAGAATATCTCTACAAAAATTTCTTAGAAAATCAAACTTTTTTTGTTGAATATGTACATAGGTTAGAGGACAGATTTCTGTATAAAAAATTTTTATTTTGATTGAAAAAAGATTTACTTGTGTAGAATTTTTTCATAGACCTGCTAAGTACCCGGCTTCATCACTAACAAATTAGCATCACCGTTAGATTCAAGATACTAGAAGTCTGCTAGGTTCTGACTTTTTCCTTTGTTCAGCTCAGATTTCAGCTTACTAATTGTATTTTTCTCTTATTAGAAATATTCTTATTCATACTTATTATTTCCAGGTTCGTGCTCAAAGTGTTCTAAAACAGCATCAACAACAACACACACAAGTAGAAAATCGTACAACACCGGATAGAGAAAACAAAATTCCTGAGTTAGAAGAAACTATTGAAAAATTAAAAATAGCTCTAAAAGAGACAAAGTATGTGTCATTTTATTAAGTGAGAGGGTTGTTTATTTGTACTATGTCTTCAATTATGTACTTGGTTTTGTTTTTATAGTGAAAAATTACAATCAATGATGAATGAAAATGATATATTACAAAAGGAACAAGACCATTTAATTGATCGTCAGACAAAAATTGTTAATGAATATAAAAAACGTGAACAAGAATTGAAAAATCAAATACGAAAATTGGAAAACGAATGTTCACAACGTACAAATGAAAATTCAGATATGATAAAAAATGTAACAGCACAAAATGAAATATTAACAGCAGCCTATAAAGTATGTGAATGAATAGAAATTAAATTCGATAGATGTGTATGTGTATGTATCGTTTTAGGAACAAATAGCATCAATACAAAGTGATCATGAACGTGTTTTGAGTATGATACAAAATCAATTGAATTTATCACGAGCCGATGTTGAAATACTAAAAAGTCGACTTGAATATACAGCATCACGATTGGACAGTAAACACAGCGATATCAACAGTTATTCGTCAAGTGAACCGGTCACTACTAGTAGTAACAATGATAATAAAGACGATTCTAATTGGTTTGTTCATAATACAGAACGACAACAAGGAGAGGTAAAAATCAAAAAATCAACTGATTCACCTTTCCTTTTAATTTATTTCTGCGTCATCTTACGCCATAAAAATTAGATTTTTACAAAAAAAAAAAGGGGCGGGTTGAAATGTGAAAGGTAGTGATTCATTGCAGCTGTTCTTTTTGTTTAGGGTATGGATAAAGAACTTTTACAAACGACTGATGGTGAAAATTCAACGACAATAGCTGTTAAAACGTTGGAAAATGTTTTATTTAACAGTGGTGATTCTTCCTCATTAAGACATGACTCACTTACTACTATCGTAACATCCTCGTCAACTAATGATAAACCAAAACATGTACTATTTCAAGATGCTGAAATGGAATTACAACGTATTAATGAAGAATACGAAAAATGTCATCTACGTTTAATAAATACAACAGAATTATTAAATGATTCTGAATTGAATAATATTCGTCTAGAAGAACAAGTAAATTTATTAAAAGATGAAATTCGACGATTAGAACGAAATATGGAACGTGCTGATTCAATTTCAAATTTAGAATATTTAAAAAATGTTATTTTAAAATTTTTTATATTACGAACAGTTCATGAACGTTTACAATTAATTCCTGTTTTGGTAACAATGTTAAAATTAAGTCCCGATGAACAACAAAAACTCGTACAAGTTGCTCACAATAGTCGTTTTTCAGACGAAAACATTGAATCAAATCAACAGCAACCACTTCCAGACCAACAACAAACTGGAGGAACTTCTTGGGGTACTTATTTAGGAAAAATATCGGGCTTGTACTAGTGTCAAACATAGTGTTTCAGATGCATTATTATTTTTATATATTATTCGAATCCAGATCATGTTAATCAATATCTGGGATTCAATTTCCAGACGACGCATGTTTTTTTTTTCCGTTTATTTATTTACTGAAATTTTAGCCGCTAAAAAAATGTTTGTTTTTTTAATATTTTTGTTTTCTTTATATGTGATATAAATGAAGATAGTGTTTGTCTAATAATAAATAATCATTTTTTTAAGTGCAAATGATGATCTTTTTATATATTCTGTCCGTACATTCTTGATTACTGAGCTCTAGTGTGTAATCATCCTTTAAATTTGTTCACACTGTTCATTATATGTTTTTGAAAGTAGCATATTGTATGTACTATTTACAATTAGATTTCGCTTATTTTTATCCTTGACCTATGCTCAATCGTAAAAATTTGTTGTTGTGCTTTTTGAATATAAACTACATATTTGGAAAGTCTCAAAAACAACAACGTCAAATATTTTTTTTCTCAAAACAACGACAAAACGAGAGCCAAAAAACAAATGAACAAAAAAAGAAAATTCATTTAAACAACAATCAACAGCAAGGAAAAAAACAAAAAAACAGCAAATTTTTAAAAAAAAACAACAACTGGTTCTTATTCATATTGCTGCATGAAATATAAACAGGCAGCAAAACGCAAAAAAACAAAAATAATTTAGGCACAATTGGAAACTTCTTGTTTATATTTATATTTAATTGTCTTGCAAGCAATAAAATTTGTCTGTTATATATTTATAAAACAAAGGATCAATATAACAACAACGATGAAGAAAGGTGTCGAGCGAGAAAAAAAAACATATTAAACAAAAGACAGTCATTAACTTACAAAAAGGAGAGAAACAGAGAGAGACAATGTATTTGTAACGAAAGCGGAACATCACACGTCGAATACTGGCTATGCATGCAGACAAATAAAATGACCGAAAATGACACATAGGTATACAAAAAAGAAAAAGAGAACAAAACAACATACTATAAAATTTGGGTTGTATATCAACGTTAAAAAGACTATACAAATCAGAGGGCATACATTTTCATTGAACTGTCGTTATAACAATAAGTAGATAACATTGATCTGTTCGATTTTGTACGACACAACGATAAGTATCTGGTGCACGACTTTGTAATATTTCTGACGCAAATGGACATGGTGGAAAAATGTGTACAACATAGGCAGCTTGTGAAGCGCCTGGTAAAAGAACATTAACAATGCCTGCTGCTTTTTTCTCTTCAAAATATTTGATAACACCATTTTTTAAATTTGATTGTTGTTGTTGATATTCTTGTGGTGTTGAACCATTTGGCATGGCAATTAAAATACAATGATCATTTTCCATTTGCATTCGTTTTTGAACACCTTCTAATTGAGCTTGTTCTAAACGCATACGTTGTGATATTCGAAGATTATGAGTAGATGGTGATTGTGGTTGATTCGATGGTATTTGTGAATCAGTATTCCAAAAATTCATTGATGCACGTGCTATTTGTGGACTACCGGCAACCAGAATTGTTTTAACATATGCTTGATCATTTTTTAATATTAAATATCCTTGCCATGTTACACTATAGGGATCACGAGAAGATGAAAATGTATCGTTGACATGTTGTGGAGGTGATGGTGGTAATGGTTGACGAAAATTAAGAACACTATAACCGGGCATATAACCTACACTAGTATTTGAATTATTACTACCAATAGTATTTGGAGAATTTGCTGTTTGTTGAAATAATTGTTGAATAGGTAATGGATGTGAATCAGGTCGTGTAGGATTAACATAAATAAAATTATCGGTATAAGCATTTGGATTAACACCAATGACATTTAACATGCTAGCAGCCGCTGCAGCATAAGCAAAATTTTGAGGATAAAGAGCTTGTGCATTGTACAAATCGGATGCATCATATATAGGCCGAAATGGAACAACTGAATCTAAAAAAGAAAACACATATCGAATGATGGAACTGTATCTCTTTTCAAGTTAATTTTTTAGACTAAAATTTTCAGTAATTTACTCGAACATACCTTGTGCTAGAAATTGTTGCATAGGCGATGCTTGTTGCCTCACATTTCCTCCTGTTCTATCATGTGATTCTGATTGATTGATAAGCGGCGATGTTTGTTGCTGTAACTGAATATTAGCTGGAATAGAAAGTGCAATAGGTACAGGCACAGTCTGTTGAATCGGTGTTGACCTATTTGATGTAGTTGGCGTAGATGATTTTGTCAATGACTCCCTACAATTAAAATGGTTAAAGAATTAAATGTTCATATTTGAAAATTGATTGAGCTAATTCTTACCGTCCTCCTACACTTGATCTCTGCGTTTTTGTTAATGGAATTTCGCTATTACTATGTAAATTTGAATGATGGTAACTGCTACTAGAGGATGTATTTCTTAGTGTATCATTTATCAATGTCAGTTTATTCGTCGAATTAGTTGAATTTTCAGAAGATAAAAGCATATTTGGAAATGGATTTGAAAGTACGACATTATTCGACGATAATTGAGCTTTATTATTCATAGTAGTATTATTAGCTGACGGTGGAGAAGTAGAAAATGTCGCTGAAACGATATTCGATGCCTGATTTGGGCTATTGTGTGATGATGAAGATAGAAATGGAAACGGAAAATGTTGTGAAAATGTTCCATCGGGTGTCAACATATGAGGAAATAACTGAGCGGCAGCATTTAATAAATGTTGCTGTTCAGTGTTTTTATTCGAAGGTGATGAAGACGATGTTTCCCGTGTTGGAGTATTCGACACTGATGGTCTTGCTAGTAGTGGAACAGTCGTAGTTGTTGTCGATGGAGACGTCGATGAACGAGATGTTTCTGTTGATAATAGATTATTATTTATGATAGAATTATTATTATCACTGTTATTACCAAAAATATTTGCACAAGAAAAATCGCTGTTACCAGATGATAATGTTGTAGGGCAAGGAGTTTTCATCGTTGGTAATGGTAATTCGCGAAACGGTTTTATTGTTTGATCTTTTTGTTGATACCGTAAATGTGAATCGTTCGAGGTAAATGAAAATGGATCAATGATTGACATGGTGGTAGATGATGTTGTTTCGTGAGTCGACGGAGAAGACGTATGACCTTTAGCTACATCATCAATAATTTCTTCAATGTGTGAACGTTGATGTTTTTCTATTGTTGACAGTGACGATGAAGTACTAGTGGTACCAACAATATTCGAGACAAGTGTCATTAAATCACGATTCGTTGAACGATTTGTCGATGGACTCGGTAACGATGTAACAACATTATAGATAGGTGTACTGATTGTTGGTGCTGCACTTATCGTCTGACAGATGATCTTTGAATTTGTCTCCGTTTTTTGATGTTCACTATTTACGACTGCTGGTATATCTGCTCGATTATTTAACATTAATAAACTGTTAACAGCATTCAGCGTTTCTTCAACGCTTTCGTTCATACTTGATGATGTTGTAGGCGGTTGAACATTTACAATTCCGATCGTATTAGGTTCAGCAATTACCATTTCTTCTGTGACAGTTTTCGTTATGGTCAGAGACGATGGTGGTGGTAGTGGTACTGGTGCTAGTACCGGTGCCGGTGCCGGTGGTAGTGGTGGTGGTGTTGCTGTTGAGTTGAGCGGTGGTGTTTCTGAGCTATGACGTCTTGGTATCGAAGTACATTGAACTGAAGAAAATAATAGTGCTTGAATTGCATTTTCTGTTTCACTATTTAAATTTGTTTTAGTTGTCGACGATATTACTGAACTAATAGTTGTAGATGTTTCCTGACTAGGAGCTGTTTCGGTATCCATCGTTTGTTTTTCATCCTCTTTCTTAGAATCTAATTGTAATTGTTCATCATTTTGCGTTGACGGTGGTTGTTCAGATTGATTATTACTAAAATATTCACAAATAGAACAGATGGAGATTATAGGATACGCAAAAGTTGCAATTTTAGCGACATATTAATTACTGGCGATAAAAAATAAAAACAAAGACTTACTCTGAATTTTTTAGTGCTTCACATTCCATTTGTTGATTTGCATTCTCATATTCACTCAAAGGTACATTTATTGGTACTTCATTGTTTTCATTATCATTTTGTATGTCTTTTGTTGTTATATTTATTTCAATATTTTCTTGTTTTATGACTACAGGAATATCAGATGATGTTAACGATTTCGAGCTATCTGACCGTTGTTGTTCTTCTATTGGTTCTGATTTGATCTGAATGATGTGATCGTTATCTGTACGAAAACGTTTGCTGTTATTACTACGTAGAGGTGCCGATATAGAAGTTACACAATTTCGATTATCGTTCGATGATGTACCGTTATTTATATTTTCCGAAGCTGTCATTTCATCCGATGAACGTCGATGTGATGGACTGTGGTGAGAATCATCGATTGAAGAATGTTTTAAAATGGTAGCAGTTTGTAATTCAGACGGTGAAGACAGCGATTTGCTAATTGTCTCATCGTTATTAGTCGATAATTGCGCGTCGACAGCAGCAATACTCGTCGTATTATTAGTAGACGTCCTTATTTGTTGTTTTTTAGTTGATAATTGTTGATTTACACCCTTTTTACCACTACTGTTTTTAGTTTTCGTGCTTGCACTATCATCTCTTCTACCCAATAATAAGTCACTTAATTGCATTGTTTCAGGATTTAATGTATCATCATCATTTAATTGTGGAATTGCTGCGGTTTTTATTAACGACTGTGATATAATAGATGAAGAAGACGCCTGCGATGTTTCTTGTTTAATAATTGGAATTAGTTGTGGTTGTTGAGCTGATAATTCTAATAATGGCGTTTCCTTGATGAGCGGCAATTCGCTATTATCTGTTTGTGCACGTGCACGTATTTTATTATTATTTTCAACATCACCAGTTTTTGATATATCATAACTACCGATAGATATATGATCAATCGATTGTGTACGACGAGAAAACGATTGTGAAATTTGTAGTGCTGATGTTCGATGATGACTAGTAAATACAATGCCAAATTTATTTGCGCTATCATTCGTCGAAGCATCTAATAGATTATTATCGTTTTCTTTCTCACTCGGTATATCGACAGTTGGTAATGAAACAATAGTAGACGGTGTTTCTTCTATATGTTCACTGTTTTCCATGGCTAACGATGATTGAATATTCTCTATAACGTTAGATTTTAGTGTTTTCTTATCAGTGTTAATAGGTGACGAGGAAGATTTAATTTGTTTCGTCGATGGTTCTCTTGTTTTATTCGTAACATGAGTGTTAATCGGTTTCTGTTTATTTACTTTGATTGTATTTTCATTCAATTTTATTTTTTTTGCTTCATTCGGAGACGATAAACTCGAGAGATCATCGGTTGACGAACGTTTTTGTCCACCGATAATCGATACTTTAGTTGAAGAAGATTTTATTACGGGTGATGTTGGTTTTTGTTGTTGTATGTGAGTTGATTTGTTCGACGATGATGATAGAGGTTGCTGTACAGGCGACAATGGTTTTATTTTTGATACATCTGTTTTTAATGCTTTATTTACTGATTGATCATTTACTTTTATAGGTTTTTTCTGATCAGTAGATCGACAGACTTGTGCGACGACGGTTGATTGTTGTTTTGGAACGACTTTTTCATTGATAGTAGAACGATTGACATTCAATATCGATTTGTTTTTTGTTGATGTTAAAGATGGTTTTTTCTCTACATCCTCCGATACTTTCCCCACTTTAGTAGATGTGTTCACTTTCTTATCATTCACTTGTTGCGAATTTAATGAAAATTGTTTCTTTTTCTCGACTGTTTTCGATGAGGATAATGATGACTTACTATCCGAAGGAGTTTTCTTTGTTTGATCACTAATCACGTTGCTTTTCGGTATTGTTGCTGTATTTGATTTTTGTGATAATAATGGTGAAAGATGCGATTGTGAAGGTTTAATAGTCTTCTTCTGATCATCAAGTTTTTTACGATTCATTTTGAGATCATTGTCGCTTTCTTCAGCATCAAATACATTATCATCAAATACAAAATTTTGTTTATTATTTAATGATTTTGTATGATGCTGTCTGTCGTCAGACAAATTAGACGTTGATTTATCAGATAATTCTGAATCAGATAATTCTGAATCAGATAATTCTGATACTGTGGTGGATATACGCTATAAGTAAACAAAGGCAATTGTATTCATAACCGTTGAATAATCAACTATTCCGTTTTGGTACTATGAACCGGGATACATTATCTCATAGCTAACTCATATACAATCGAGCATACAGCCAAATGTCAAACATTTCTCATGATAGACCATGAGTTTGTTTTCTTTCTTTCACTACTTACAACTTCGACTTACATTAGAGTTGGATAAGTTAGTTAACTATTGTATTCTGTCCTCTACTTCTCTACAAATTTGCAAAAAGGGCAAGCCTTCTCTACAAATTTCAGAACTCTTACGTTGCTCTACGAAAAAATATGTGCAGAATCTCAGAATATTTTCCGTCGTGCAGAAAAATGCATGTCATATTCGAATTTTTTCATCAATAAAGTACAGTTCCGAATCTATCTCGATTAGTCATTTTGTCTTGACGTTGTCATGGATCTGTATGGATTTGAAATCAAGTATGTTGTGAACGGGCTGATTTCATATTTGATGGTTTGTCTTCTCCTTTCTTGAAAGATCATGATATCATGGAGTCTCCTATACTCTACCGTTCAGGTGTACTACAAATCTCTAGCTTACATCACGTTTATGTTTTGTTGTTCGTTTTGACGACGATTGTGATTGACTATCATTGTCGCTATCTTCTGTATCATCATTTTCGCTTGAATTTTGCTGACTTGATGATCTTGACCTAAAAAAAACATAAAAACCGGTGATCGTTCATCTTTACAGATTATTTACAAATAATTCCACATACCTATGATGATGTTGATGACCCTTTCGATGATGATGATGATGATGATCACTTCGAGCACGTTTTTTAATTCGATCGTACATACTTACATCTTGCACTAATGAATTTAAATTCAAACCGCGTAATTCGCGTGATGCAAATGACTGAAAAAAATAACAGAAGATGTTGAAAATGAAATCTAGAGCGGATAAACATACTTTATGAAGTTTTTTCAATTTTTGTTTTGTACGTTGTCGTTTTTGTAACAGTTTAGAACGCGTTAGACCTACAAACACATAAAATAAAAATATATTTTAATAGTTTATTTGAACAAGT